GCGGTGTTCGAAGTGGGAGCGCGAGGCTGTATGTGCCCGATGTCGAGAACCACATCATCGGTGGGCAAGAAGAAGCCGTCGTCGTACTGACAGAGTTGTTGGAGTCTGGCGCAGAAAGCACAGACTGGTCTTTCTCCGGAACACCGCGTTTTCTTACGCCTAAATAAGAATCAATTATAGCACCACAAGCCCGTGCCAGCGCTTACAGCCTGCAAATGGCAGAGTCAAATATGGAAATGTGATTGCCGGGATTAGGACGGAACTGTAATACCTGCAATTCAGGCACGCCCTGCGGACGCGCTTCGCCTGACGTTCGCTCATCGCGACCGGCTCGGATCCTATGCAATCTGGTGGAACACCCTTTGGTGGTTCGGCCCCGCGCTGAACCCCGGAGACGATCGGATAGCCGCTGCGGTGGAGGATTGAAGAGGCTATCCTGGAACGAAGGCCGACAGTGGGACCGATTGGCTAGGGTGGAGGATATACGGGGATATACGGGGATATACGGGGATATACGAGGTTGCCGTTGGCATACAATTGTCAAGACGAACAGTGAGGCCGGGTCGAGCTGGTGGAGTGAATAATCACCGGCCGGCAGGAAGGATCAGGATGCAGGAATAGCCGACTAGGCGATGATCCATACTTTACCCCAGTTTGTGGGGTATGGCACGTGATACACTAAGAGCAACTAAACTAGTGCTTGTGTGGTTTGCGGGAACCGCCATCTACAAGTACGAATCCTAGGCCAATCATGACAGTATCGCTCTGTCTAGATCCGCTTCCCAGGTTGCTGGTCGTGCGGGAGCTGCGGGTCGCTCAGGTGCTTCCGAAGCAGGCTCGCGACGCCGTCAACCATCAATGTTGGACAGTTCACCCAGGCGGCACTTCCGCACCAGAGGATGTATTTGGCACGGTGATAAAACTCGAGAGAATTCCGCATAGCTGTTTTCGTAGGGAATTGCGGCCATGCCCTCAGCTATGCCGAAGTCCTGCAGTTTCCGCTATCCTTCAGTAGTGATGAGCTCATCCCGGCGACGTCCCCACGTATCGAATGTCTTGATGTAGGGATTGTTGCGTTCAGCATCGAGAATCCAGCCCATGACTTGTGGAGAGAGGACTTTGTCGCCAAAGGTGGAGAGATCCTCGCTAACAGAATCTTTGACGGATTTACGCAGGAAGAGATTCAACCCGCGGTTCAAGGCGGCATCATCGTGAAATTGGTTTGGCACAACGGGCGGGGCCTGGAAAAAGCCAGCAGTCGAGCTTGAGGGTGTATTCATGGCGAATGTAGTAATTCGTAGGTTGTGATAGACGTCGTCTTCCCGGTAAGTGAGTTACAAAGCCCGATAATAGAAGAAATCTTCAGGAGGGATAGAGGGGCTTTTCTTGGGGTTTAAACTCGAATTGAAACAGCTCTAATAGCCCGGGCCTCTCGTCCAACTCGCGACTAACCGCGGGATTACCAAACTGCTCGGCCCGATATGACACCGGCGTGGCCTGTAAGAGCCGCAGGAATTGACCCAGACTCCCTGTGAGGTGTTATAATCTGCGGGGAAGCGAGGAGGGGGCGGCGAGTTAGGGCGAGTCAGGGGCGAGTCGCACGGTAGAGGATGTCGACGTGCACTCTTTGGGCTTCGGGTCGCCGAGGTTGAGAGGGACCTTGAGCTCTGCTCTCTTTGAGATTTACAGCATAATGGCATCAGCTCATATCCCGGAGGTCATACCTTCTCAGCCTGCCTAGTATTCTGGCCGCGCCCCTGCAGGATGTTTGACTCAGTTGGTGTAGCAGACTACGACTTTTTGACAATACGGCCGGCTGCTGATGCTGCTGATGCTGCCTACGTCTCCTCATTCAGAGGAAGCAAATGGGCCAGTCGAAGAAAGAATAGAGCAATTAATTCCAACAGCAGCTGTTCATTGCGCGTAATACATGGAGTAGTGCTATTTTCACTATTGGTTCAACTCGCATGACTGATCTCCTAACTTCGCCGTATCCTTTCCTTCTATCACGAATATTGCATTTATTTGACGCAAGATTGACTTAGCATAATTTCTTCTATATCCTGCGGTTGTGTACAAAAATTCTTCCTGCATCAACTTAGAGCCTCGGAGTCTCAAAGGCACCGTGCCGACCTGCTCCCCCACTAAATTTTGCCGCACCGGCAACACTTTCTCTGGTGATTACCTTAACGCCCTGATCGAATTCGTTCTTCAATGCATCCTCGAATGACGAAGCGTTGTATGCAGAGTAGTAGCAGTTGGAACGGTCGACGTTCATACAGGCTTGAGGGAATGTCAAGAGCTGTCTCGCAATTTTCGTAGCTTCGGCCAACGCCTGTCCTTTGGGGACGACACGGTTGGCAAGACCCATCTGCAGGGCCTCCTGAGCCGGGACACCGCGGCCCGTAAGAATCATGTCAAAGGCCCTCCCCAGCCCTACAATCGCTTGAAGGCGGACCGTGCCGCCGTCGATAAGAGGCACACCAAACCTCCGGCAAAAGACGCCAAATATAGCATCTTCCTCAGCGACTCTGATGTCACCCAGGAGGGAAAGCTCCAGACCCCCGGCAACAGCGTATCCCGATACCGCACAGATGACGGGCTTCTTAATCTGCATTCTCGACGGGCCTATGGGCCCAATGTTGCGGCCTTCCACACGATGGTCGGCATCGATGATGGGGCCCTTGTACTGGTTGCCTGCCGGCCCTTTGTCGTACTTGGCGACTTCGTGGAGGTCAAATCCGGCGCAGAAGGTGCCGTTGGCGCCGTAGAAAACGCACACCCGCTGAGTTGGGTCATGTTCAAAGGCGAGGAAAGCTTCGGTCAGCTTCCTGCCGGTTGGGCCATCAACGGCATTGCGCCGATGCAGTCGATTGATTGTGATGGTGGTGATGCCATCCGAGGTTTTGCTAACCTGGACTGCTTGGGGCTCAGTATCGGCCATTTTCAGCGAGATAAGGGGTGGCAATAGAATGTGTTCAGGAACAATAGGGTTGGAAGGTCAATTTCTGGAGCTTGGAAGGAATGAAAGTGAGACCATGGGCTGTTTCACTCACTCAGCATATTAGTCTTGTCGCAAGGAATATATGTAGAGAGATAGACATCTACATCGCCGTGGCTTGCCGAGGTAAAGGTGATTCACCGCGGCCCTTAATCGCTTTTTGTCGTCGGCATGGCAATGATGTCTTCCGTTGGCGCGTTCAACATCCTGGCTGCGGCACACCAAGACATCAATGTGGAGTGTGGGCACGGCGCATGCCGGGTTTGGGCCCACTTATCCCGCCCACGGAGTGGCACGTGAAGATCTTGCCGGGCCCACATCGGAACCAAGCTTCGGTGCATCAGCAAATTAGGTTTCCGAAGTACACGAATGCCCATGCCTCTGAGCCCAACATCACAATGCATGGCCCGTGGCCCCTCCCTCGGATCCGCATTTGCTCCGTTCGTCACGGAGACTATGGTTTTGAGGTCGTCGTCAAGGTTGAAGTTAGTAGAGATTATAGAGATACACTCTTGCTAAAATACGTAACAGTCGTGGATCGGCCGCGGATGAATCGGAGCATGTCTTATTTCCCCTTGCCGATAGTGCTCAATAGAGGAATAGCAAGTCTCATCTATTCATTTCTTTAAACTCTGACCACGTAGAACTAAGACGAAACTCCAATGGTCAAACCTCCATCCACTGGGATAATTTGACCCGTGATCCATTGAGACTCGGGTCGACAGAGAAATACCACCATTGCCGCGATGTCCTCCGCCCTTCCAAGCCGAGGCCAAGGAGTTGCCTTTTCCATCGTCTGGAGTATCTCGTTGTTTTCAAAATTTCCTCGTGCCATACCAGTAGCAACAACTCCAGGAGCCACACAATTGATATTGATGTAATCCTTCGCGTGATCGAGCGCACCTGCCCGCGACATGTGGTTGATCGACGCCTTTGTAGCAGAGTAAGCAACCTCTCCAGGGAATCCTGTTACACCAGCGCATGATGAGATGTTAACTATACGTCCCCGGCTTCCCCATTTCTCGTCATGGTGTTGTTGGAGGAATTGCTTGATGGCGGCGCGGCTCATTCTAGCTGTTCCTAGCGTATTCACAGCCGTCATCTTAGACCATAAGTCCTCAGTCTCCTTGACGAAAGGTCGAAAGGGTGCCCAGAATCCCGCGCAGTTGATGAGAATGTCAATTCTACCGAATTTCTAGGTTGATGATTAGCCAAAGTCCTGAAATGTTGGTCCCATGGGTGCTGAACATGAGCTTACCTCCACTGCTGTCTCGAAAACCTTCTCAACAGCTACGGGGTCAGATATGTCGGCCGTACAATAAATGGACTCTCCACCTTTGCTGGAGATCACTTCCCCTGTAGTACTTTGTAAATTCGACTCATAGCCCCGGCTATTTGCTGCCTCGTTCAAGTCGCAGCAGACTATTCTAGCTCCCTCGTCCGCTAACCCTATGGCAATGGCGCGTCCCACTGTAAAATCAGATTAGCAAGATCAATACGACTTCGTCGCGACTCCAGGGTAGTACGTACTTCCAGAGGAGCCACCAGTGACGATTGCCACTTCCCCTCGAGGCTTTTCGTCATGGCTTCGATGAAATCTTGGGGACCGATAGGAGAAGACGCGGGGGTGGGAAAGAAGCAGAAGGTCTAACAACTTGGTGAGAGAGTAGGGAGATTATTGGCAACTAAGGAATTACTTGGTCTGCAGGTTCTTTGATTGCTAAATAAATTAGACATTTTTTCGGGCTAATTTCTTCTCACCCGATCTCCCCGTGCCTTTGAGAAAAGAGTCCGTCGGCGGGGAAATTGTGAGTGAAGACTGTCCTAAGGATGAGATTAGTCCGCAACTCGACTTTGAAATTAATGCGACCGCCACCTTGGTCTGTTGATCGAATGCTGGCTTTTTCTACATCCAGAATTATTTGTACAGAAATAGGAGCAGTCGACTTACCACTCTACTATTTGTGTACGAATCCCGCCGCATTCGTCAGCTCCCACAATGTTCAAGAACAAATTTTATTGTATTACCGGAGCGGCATCGGTAAGTCCATACGAACCGGATCATTGCGCTTGACTGATAATTGGGTTGCAGGGCATCGGCCGCGCCACTGCACTTGAATTAGCGTCGGAGCAGGCATCGGGTCTTGCTCTTAGTGATGTGGACATGGAAGGGCTTGAAAACACGGCAAAGGAGTGTAAGTGGACTTTTGTCAACGCCCTCTGGAATTTCATATTTACGTTAAAATCCTAGGCCAGCGTATGGGAGTCAAAACCGTCCTGACGACCAAGCTCGACGTTCGGAACCAGAGGGATGTTGAATCGTGGGTTGAGGAAGCGTATGGATCATTCGGAAGGCTCGATGGCGCTGCCAACGTCGCCGGTGTAGCTGGGGGAACCGGCGATACCACTATTGAGACGATTGTAAGATCCTCCTCTCCATCTCAGAGACTGTTCTTCCTTGTTTATCAACAGTTATAGGTTCAAGAGGACTGGGATCGAACTCTGGGAATCAACCTTAATGGCGTGATGTCCTGTATGCGAGCTCAACTTCCTCGTTTGACCAAACCAGGAGGTGCTATTGTCAACGTCGCCAGCACATCAAGTCGGCGCGGGCTACCACATAGCGCCGCTTATGCCGCCAGCAAGTTCGCTGTTATAGGGTTGACGGAGTCCGCCGCCGGGGAATATGCCAAGCAGGGCGTTCGCATCAACGCTCTGCTGCCGTAAGGATTTCCTAATACAATTAATCTAATTACTTCGACCATTTACTGACGCTTTTCTCTCAGCGGCCCTATTGATACCAAGATATTCCGAGATGGCGAAGCCAAAGGTCTATTCGATTCGGATGCGCTGTCTAAAGACACACTTCTAGGGAGGGTGGGGAAAGCCGAGGAGGTCGCCAAGGTGCTATGCTTCCTGCTTAGTGACAATGCATCCTACGTAACTGGGGGTGAGTTTTCTGGGACAATCTGACTGTTTCACAACTAACTGTACTAATTCCTGTGTGCAGCGCACTGGAATGTTGACGGAGGTTACTTGGCATGTTAACTGGCCGGCCATCGCCAACCCCGAGAGGGAGCGAGCGGCATGTGCCGAAACCAGCCGTAACCGGCGCACGGGTTTCGACAGGATGTTTGGATGCGGTAGTATTGGGGAGCTGTAGCAACTCTACCTAAATATATCTGTTGGTCTCATTCTAACGGGCCAGCATGCAAACCTCTGCCAGCATTCTCCCACGACCAATCCCCAGTATCAATCGTGTTATGCTTGCAGAACAGCCCGACATGTTTGTCCAGTGACTTTTAATATTTCTAGACAATTAAACCATTGTGTGAACAAGGGCGGCTAGGCTCAGAGGCTTACTTCAAACAATCAAACAAATCCCCATGCCCATTATACTCAACTTGGTTATAGAAGAAAAAAGAAGAAGAAGAAAAAGAAGAAGAAGAGATCAATTGATGCATTCGGTACAAACTTATTCTCAAATCTCAAATTGCTTTTTATCATGAATGTCAGCGACGGCTTTCCAATTCTGGACCCGAGCGAGAGGGCTGGACGGAAGCTGAATGGACTCGAGTCTTAGCGTCAACAGGTAACAGGTACCCATGCTCCCGGACACCCATCTTGTCGACGAGTCGCCCATGAATAGGTATCGTTTTTCATTATGAAAAAGAGGTCCGGGCTCATGGGGATACGTGATTGAAGACCGAGTCTTATTTCTTGCATTGTTATTCGATGAATAGATGGTATCCGCTTCTTTAGTGCAAGCCATCAATAAGGAGCACGGCCGAGGCCATTCTGCAGCAGGCCAACGGTGATGTTGTGTACATTGAAGGTACTTCTTCGTCTGGAGAGGAGAGGGGAGGGGGGTTCCATGGCCCAGGGAAATCCACTGCTTTTCGCTTTCCCGGCCAGCACAAACCCCCGCTCTTGACTCGCGACTCCAGAGCTCCGGCTTTGGCAAGGCCCGCAACTGAAGTTAAATTTGGACCCTGGTAGATACGTTGCTGCTCGATTCTAAGCGCATCGGCCATGGGCTTACACTTGCGTGGCACCCGTACGTTTTGAACAGTTGAAGAAGCAGGGCGTCTATCTTGAGTTAAAGACTTAGTCTGACCCCCAGGATGGATGGGCATTGCATGTAGAGGATACTTGACAACAATGTCAACTGTACTTTGAACAGTGATAATGGCGCTCTCTTTAGGTGAGCAATGCTGGCGCGGGCTTGGCAGTGGCCACTGACACGCCCACTGGTCTACCTTGTCTCACGACTTCTACCAAGTCATGATCGGCCTTGCCGACATGACTGTCCACACGACCGGCGACAGCTAACAGAATGTAGTTTGCAATACGCTTGCATGGATGAAGACGAATTTGGAAAGATATTCCATTCCCGGGAGGGCGGGCTGATGGAAGAGTTGGCTAAAATGGGTAATTAAGGAGTATGGTCATCTGATTATTAGAGAACATGGCAGCCGAAGCTGTTGGAACAAGCCAACAGGTCAGAAACACGGGGATGATGGTCCAACTCTGCAGATGTACGCCGACAAAAGCAGATAAGAAAATATCCTGCAAATTGGGTTGTCAAGTGATTGTTAATTCCGTTTGGCGATTATATTGTGTTTGTTCTTAAAGTCGTTTTCGGGCCCTTTCTGGGCCCTTTGAATGGTGTCAGTACCAGTGTTTCTGATATTCATAGGCCTTGGCGGCACTTTGACTTCTGAGGAATCACGCCGTTTTGGCTGGACATGCATGGGAGAAATAGATGGGTGTATCGATGATGTCGGGTAGAAGAGACGTCAACTATTTAAAACCCGAGCCTATCATCAGTACACATTGGAGGAAGCTTTTTAAACCCTGCACCTAATACGTCCATTGCCACCACGCTGCTCGCAATGCTCTCATTGAATGGTCAGCTGACAGCCTTGAAATAAAACAAAATCACCACCATTCGTTTTCCCCGCTCTCGGTCTGCCTTTCATTTCAACCACTTTTCATTTGGCTCCTCCTTGCCCGCACATCATGGCTCGTATCAAGCAATCATCGAGGAAGCGCTCTGTGCCACCGGTAATAACTTGGACGCGCTTCCACCTACCGCAGGAGCAGCAGTTGCCGACGTGGTCCGTAGACCAGACCCCAGGCCACATCAATGTCCATCATGGCCCACTTATAGGTGTGCGAGGTTGTAAGCGGGTATGGCTGGGAAGAATGGTCGAGGACCCCGAACAGGCTGCCTACATTATCGGTAAATTTATATTGGGAAACATGAAGGGTTGGATATTCGTCACTAACTTTGGAGCAAAACTTATGCAGAATGGGCCACTCAGGATGATGCGAAGAACTTCCAGTCTTCCCCAGCCTGCGCAGAGTTCCTACAGAACCTCCCCGAATACGATAACTCGCAAGTCTCTATCGATTCTAGCTTAGGACTAGAGAAGATAACTTTAAGTGAAGCCTCTTCATCATTATCAACTATGTCACCACGCTTCCTCTTGCTCAACCCCATTATCGATATTCTGAGGCCGGATGTGGAAGACCGTGTTACCTTCACTGCCTTTCTGGTACCAGGCAAAGTCGACAGCCCGCTAGGCCTGTGGAGGGATCATTTCAGGACGCCGTTTTACTCATTTATGCCCCCTGGCTACGAATCCTTAACATTCAGCGGCCGCGCCCGGGATACATTTTCAGCCACATGGTTCCATGTGCTTTCGGAAGACAGCTGGGTGGAGAAGAAGTTTGGAAAGCTGGAGGAACAGACGGCGCACGATGGTGAGGGTGGTCGGACAATCATTTGTCAATTTCACCTATGGCCCACTAGGTGGGGTGGCACTCCAGAGAAAGAAGCGGCATCGGTGGCCGACCCCGAGGGGAGGAAGCGTTGGAATCAAGTCATAGCGCGGGTCATGCCGCCGGCTACGGCCTGGGTACAGGAGCGCTGGGATATCCACCGAATTCTGCGATGTGATCCCCTCCCCGTCGAACCTCCAGAGGAGGGCCCGGAGTTTGAATGAGCAAGAACAGAACTTTGTGAGCAGCACGCAAGGCTTCGAGAATTAGGTGAGATGGTGCGGGAAATCAATGGCCCGACTTCACATATCAGACGTAAAGGACAGGAAAGATATTCACGACCTGGGAATTTTAACACGCCAACAAATCGTACCCCATATTCTTGCTCCAGTACGAGTACTGAAGCAAACATCTTCCTAGCCTCCTTTAATTTCCACTCCGGAATGCCCTCAGACCTTGGACACCTGAAATCGTGGCAACACGGAAATCCCAGTTCGTTGGTATGGAAATCGGATCCTCACCCTCGTCTTCGCCAAACAAATGATACATATGGGTGATGAAGAAGACGTAGTTCTCAGGGTTTAATCGTGCTTTTGCTGGGTTTTTCTTAGCAAGATCAATGCACTCAGTAAGGGCATCTGCCAAGTCCCGAGTTAGTTATTACGGCGGTGGTCAAACCTGCGAAAGCATGGCCATGGCTTTTGGTCCAGGGCTTACCCACATTTCTCTGAGTTCCCGTCCAGAAATATTCCTCCGTTGAGGGCGTGAAAGATCTCGTGAAGCAAAGTCGCGCTCCTAGGAACAGCTTCGGCCAAGTCTACGCCATCGGTCAAACCGTTGTTTGCTTCCCTGTAACTGGCTGCCTTCTCGGTGTTGTCGAAACTGGACGGGCAAAGAATGACGTTGATTTTGGGGTCACCCCTTTGAGCCTGGCCGTTTGCACCTGGTTCAAGTATTTGGAGATCCGCGGTGCCGCCGAGGTGGTCGCTATCGTCGCACATATTGGCACCGGACTCTGTGAAGTAGTAGCCATTCTGCTTTGTGAGCTCGCCAGACCAAAATACTCGGTTATCTGGGTCTTCGGCAAGTTTCTCCTGGTAGACTGGTACGTCTTGGACTAAGATTGTGATGCCGTCTTGGTCCTGCATCTCATTGGCCTGGAAGTCAAGTGCTGGGTCGGTTGGTTGATGTAGACTCAGGAAAGTGCTGTGGCAATGGAGATGGAAGTTGTCCTTGCCATAGAGGACCTTTCCGCTGCTCTCTTGCTTGTGGTTCAAAAAGTCCTCTACATATTCAAGGTAACCTGGTCACAACATCAGTCATATGGTCGCAATCGGCTAGGAATAGCGATACATGGGAGAAGGAGGGGGCAGGGGGTTAGATTGTGCATTGACTACTGGAAGAAAAGAAGAATGAAAGAAAAGAATTGTTGTCTCGGGATTCAAACTTACGTTTGACAGCGTTGAAAGCTGCACGCCTGGGACCATCCTCTTGATTCGAGTCACCGCTTTCTGGTTCGAGTTTGTTTCGGCTTGGGATACCAAAGAAAATCAACATGGCCCTTCGGACACTAAGCAGTTGGTCATATTTTTCCAGGTTCTCCAGAGCTGTGGTGACACTAAAGGAGCTCTCGCTGAGCCATTGGTCCAGCTCCGCCATGCGACCATCGCAGCCGCCATCACGCGATCCGTCCTGAACCGTGAAGATATCTGTGATTTTTACATCTTCTGCGGTTGTGTACGATAGGATGGCCAGGAGGCCTGTGATCAGGCCCAGGAGAAAGGAGTGTCTAGCCATTTCCGTGTAAGCTCAGTAGCCCGATCCGATCCGAGCTTGACCCGGAAGTGTTAGTGACGATGGGTTTGGCGCAACATCGAAAACAATCGAACGGGGGCAAAGAAGAGCGGGGGAAGATGGTGGTGTTAGTGGCGAAAAGCGCAGCCAGACGGGCCAAGTAGGCACAATCATCATCTTTGTTCACGAACTGGCGACCACGCGGGAGGCAGACGCACTTCCCGTCGGGAACACTGGACCCGGTTACCCACAATCTCCTACTGAGAGAACTTTTGCAGATTACTTCTTACCAGATGACACGAAAGAAGGATTTTAGATTGTTCTCGTATGACCACGAGTTATAGGTACATGTCCCTTGCCGTTATTCACGGCGTTTTGTGGGATAGGCAGAATTTCGATCCATTCCTGCGACCAGTCGTCCTGCATTGCAAAGAGGATAGCCGGCTTCACCAGCGGCATAGCCTACCAAGCAAATTACTTCGTAAGAGTCCCATATTGTTCCCACACCTCCGGTGACTTGATTCAGACCGCATCCGGTCCGGCAGTTGAGCACCAGGGCAGATTTTGTTATCTCGTGGACGGGATTGCCACTGCGCCACGATCCAATTTCACCTTGTATATGGACATGCAAGGTTCCGTGACACTATTATCGAAGGATTTAGGCCCTTGACTTTAGCTGCAGGGTACGAATCTGGTGCTGTTGCTCAGTCTGTTGAGATAGGATGGCAGGTACTTATTTAGGCAGACGGGACGAGGCGGGGTCTTCAATTAGGAAAATGAGCATAGAAATACAAGATAGTTACTGGAGATTATATTTGATGACAGGAACCGGCAAAGACGGGTGGCATGAGGCATACTTCATCCGATATTAACGCTTACGACAGAAGCTACGCCCAGGCATTCGTGTTCCCCTTCTTAATTGTGGCGGCTCAATAACGGCGGCCGCATTTGTGTGCCTTGTGTTACCCTGGCCCCTGTAGATTCCATGCCTTGCACTTGTTCTTGTGAATCGGTGAAAAATGTTACAATGTGGACGGGATTAACTACGCCATATCTATATCCCAAACCCATCATCATTTTCGGGTAGAATGCCTGTATCCTGCCTTGATATCTGGACATTTTTCCGTGATATATTTCTGCCTAGCATGCTACAAAGTACCTGGATCTCTTATATTCTAGTAGATACTCACGTAGAGCCCGAGCTCCCTTGAAAAACACGTTGATAACAATCAGTAAGAATTTCATTTCATCTCATCAACATCTATATATAGAAATGACTCTCTATTGATTTGTCCCCAGTGAGGGACGTAGTCAGGGCCAAAACGATTTCCGAACTTCCCGGGATCTTTATCCTCTGCTACCTCGAGGTTTCTGTCACCAACTATGACCTGTACTCACAGTTAGTATCCCTACATAGTAACAGGAACAAAATGTTTAGGTCAAATAACGCAACCCTTCAATGCCAAGGCGTCGCCCACGCGCAAGCCCTACTCTCCCGTAGCCACAATCTTGATGAGGATGCCGCTGGTAACATCGCCCTCGGGGTAGGTTGAGCCTGAGTAAGCTGGGTTGTCCGCGTCAACCAGCACGCCTAGCGATCCGCCGTTGGTGCCACAGCCTATGAGGGAAGCTGCTTGCTGAGCCTCATCGGCGTTGGGGCCGCCGTCGATGGTGGTGGCGATGTCGGCGAAGAGCACGGTCGAGTTGACCGTGTTGTCGAGGTGCTTGGCTATGGCCTGGGCCGTGCCGTGGGAGTAGAGCTGCCACTCGCCGCAGTCGGGCGCGTCCTCGGCGGCCATGCTGAACAGGCGGCCGGTCCTGATCTGTCCGCCATAGGCCCGGAGGTAGTCGGCGATGAACTGGACGTCCTCGACGAGAACGTCTTGTGGGATGCCGTCGGGCTCCTTGTAGCAGAGCTTGTCAGGCGTCTCGGTCTCATAGCAGACACGAGGCATGATAGAATTGGGGGCTGCCAGGGCGCCGCCGAGGAGGAGGGCCAGCGGGCCAAGTTTGACGAGAAGAGAGAGCATAGTGAATGAGAGAGATGGATGATTTGACTGAACTTGAGAGAGTGGATGTCCTTTGGCAAGAATGGATGGGAACTCAGGAGCGTTTGTCTAGTTAGTTATATTCCATCGATAGGGATCGTGGCGAGAACGCAGAGCTAGGAATAGTTGCTGTGCCATTGTTTGTGTAACCTAAGTTAGAGCGGTCAAAAGACGACTTTGGTCGTGACATTACAGAGGCTAACATGATGTCTCGGACATAGGCTACAAAGGAGTAGAATCCCCGCTACCGTATCCGGCCGAGGACGGCCTCGATATTGGTACTTTTGCCTAGTCAAGGCAGCCTGGCTTAATTTTCAAAATGGGTCTTGATGAGCCACGGTTGGTTAATATAGGATAGTATGTGCAGACCAGATCATTTATAATATAGGTACATCCACACGACGCGCATCTACAATGAACTTAAAGGCCCGAAAGAGCAATACCGAGATTGCGATGAAATGGCTTCCTCGCTTGCCGGTTCCGCGGGTGAAATTAGGTACGGACTACAGCTTGACGTAGGTCAGTCAGCCTTGCCTACTCGTCCTGAGACACCTGTCAATGGACGTCCTTTTCTCCCTCGGTCACCGCGCACCTCGACGTCTTTTTGAGACACTCCTGTCAGAAACTGAAGTGGTAGAGCAACCATGGCGGCACTGTTCGCCCTTTTCCTGACTTTGCTGGCCGCAAGATGGAGTCTTGCGGTGTCGGCCAGCACGACTCACTCATTTTCAAATACAACCAAGCTTGAATATTATCCCCAGGTATGTCTTGATCCTCTATCATGTCCAGCTTGGAAGGATAATGCTGATGGCGATGTCTATCTTCACAGCCGCCGCCGCCGTACATGGTGGACAACCAGCACAACTACTACCATACAGCGCCCGACAAGGGCAAGCAGGATGGCCCGGTTTGGGCTTACTCGGGGAGCCTGGACGGGTACTTGACCAATCTTCGGAGCGGTGTCGTCCTGCGCGGCGGTCACGCCGGGTCCAACAGCATCCAGCGGACGAAATTCGACTCCGCCAACAAAAAACGGCAGTCGTCGTCCAACTTCTGGCTTACCAGCCTAGGACCTCTGGGAACGCAGCCGCATGCCGGCGGAGACAGCTACCAGTTCTTCCGCAACGTCGTGGACGACTTCGGCGCCGACAACACGGGAGAGTCGGACGCGACCGAAGCCCTCAACGCGGCGTCGGCCAGCTGGAACAAGGACTCGGTGGGTGGATCGCGGGAGCGATGCGGCAAGGACTGCGGCAACACGTTCTCGCAGGGCGCCATCGTCTTCTTCCCGGGGGGCACCTACAAGATCTGCACCCCCGTGATCCAGTACTACTACACCCAGTTCGTCGGGGACCCGAACGACATGCCCGTCATCAAGGGCTGCGACAAGTTCAGGGGCATCGCCCTAATCGACGTGGATCCCTACAAGCCCGGCGAGTCCGGGGCCCAGTGGTATATCAACCAAAACCAGTTCTTCCGCCAGATCCGGAACTTCCGCTTCGATCTCACCGAGATGCCCCTGTCGACGGAAGATAATGACCAGCCCCTCGTGCCGACGGGCATCCACTGGCAGGTGGCCCAGGCCACGTCGCTGCAGAACCTAGTGTTCGAGATGCCCACTACGAGCACCACGACCCACGTCGGCATCTTTTCGGAAAACGGCAGCGGCGGCTTTGTGTCCGATCTTGAATTTAACGGCGGGAACATCGGCTGGCGCGCCGGCTCGCAGCAGTATACGGCGCGGAACCTGGTCTTCAACCAGTGTAACACGGCCGTGCAGATGGTCTGGGACTGGGGCTGGAACTGGCAGCAGATCACTGTGAACGGCGGTTCCATCGCCTTTAATATTTCCGGGGTGGGCGGCGATACGGGCCAGGGCATCGGTAGCGTGTCCATTATCGATTCCACCATCAGCAACGTCGAGGTTGGCGTTCTGACAAACAACCTCGCTACCTCGCCCAACATCGTTCTCGACAACACCAGGTTCGAGAACGTGGCAAACCCGGTCAAGGCCGAGGGCGGCAGCAACTTGCTGTCGGGGAACTCGGATCTGTGGGCCACGGGCAGACGATATAATGGCTCCGAAGGCTCCATGGAGACAGGCGCCGTAACAGCCCCGGGGAGGGGCAAGGGCCTGAATGATCCCGATGGCAAGTTGTACGTGCGCTCTCGACCGCAGTACGAGGGGCATAGCGTCGGGTCGTTTCTGATTGCGACCACGGATGGTGGATGTCAGAACGACGCTACCGGCGACCAGGCGTCTTGCATCAACTCCTTTCTCCGCCGTGCCTTGGACGAGGGCAAAATCGCCTACTTCCCAGCCGGCGTCTACGCCGTAGGATCCACGGTAAACATCCCGACCGGCTCCATAGTGCAGGGCTCTCTCTGGTCACAGATCCTGGGATCCGGCTTCTACTTTAGTGATATGAAGAACCCCAAGGTTATGGTCCAGGTTGGCAACAAAGGTGACATCGGCGAGATGCAGATCACTGAGATGCTATTCTCGGTACGCGGCGCTACGGCCGGCGCCATCCTGATGGAGTGGAACGTAGCAGCCGCGTCGCAGGGCGCGGCGGCCATGTGGGACTCTCACTTCCGCGTCGGCGGGGCAATAGGTACCGATCTCGACCTCAGCAAATGTCCCAAGTTCAGCAACAACGCCGACTGCATCGCCGCCTCGCTCCTCTTCCGCGTAACGTCCCAGGCAAACGGGTACTTTGAGAATGTATGGGCGTGGGTGGCCGACCACGACAACGACGCCTCCATCGTCAACAAGCCCGACTCCAGCTCGACGCAGATCTCCATCTTCGGCGCCCGCGGCATGCTTATCGAGTCCGAGGGCCCGTCATGGTTCTACGGCGGTGGCTCCGAACACTGCGTACTGTACAATTATCTCATCAGCGGGGCCGAGAGCGTGTATATGGGCCATATTCAGACCGAGTCGCCCTATTACCAGCCCAACCCTCACCCGCCCGAGCCTTTCCGCGCCGCCGCCTCGCTCGCCGGCTTTCCCAACGACCCGGACTTTAGCGAGTGCGAAGTAGCGCCGGACGTGTGGGATGACCGATGCAACTATGCCTGGGGCATGCGCATCATTGACTCCAAAGATGTCATGATCCACTCGGCCGGGTTGTACAGCTTCTTCAACGAGTATTATCAGGACTGTGTACCTACCAACAACTGCCAGGACCACATCTTAGAGGTCAAGGGCTCGACCGGCGTCGTCATCTACAACCTGTTTACTGTGGCAACCGTGAACATAGCCAGTGGCATCGACAAGACGGAAGTCCCACAGGATGAAAACCAGCGGGGGTTTACCACCGAGGTCAGCGTGTGGGTGCCGCTTCCCGGGTCTGACAACGTCGACAAAGTGTGGGTTGGCACCGAGATCTGGACCGCGACCACGGTGAGCTGCCCTGTCCAGACCCGTGCCTGCATGCTGATTCTTCCAACGAGCTCGTTGGGGTCGACAACCACAATCCGACCCAGCAGCTTCACGACCTCACTGGAGTATGGAGGTATCTCGAGCACCACCATTGGCGACGTTCCGACAACCGTCTTCGTCACCTCCACCACCACCGTGACCCTCTCGCTGCCCCCCATTACCACGGACGGGATTCCCTTCTCCAACGTGAATGTGACGGGGTCGGGAGAAACAGTCATTGTCGCTTATCCTAGTGTGGAAGTCCCACCCGTTGTTGTCACGTTGCCGGACGGGGAGGGCGGCGAGACGACTCGAATCGTTTCTCTTCCACCTTGGCCCCTGATCGACGGAGGTCCCTCAACCATATTCACAGACCCAGGCACCCTGCCATCCCCCTCCGACGGGGAACTTCCCACTAGCACGACGTACTTCACTCCCGTCCGTAGCACCATCACGGTGACCAGCGCCACGGTGACAACGATAACGTTCCCGCCCACAGTTGGAGCCACCACAATCGAATGTCCGGCTACTACGTCCATTGCTTTCGCCACGCCCGAAGTTATCGTTGCCACTACCTGCACTGAAGATGCCATCTTGACGCTGAGCTTTGAGTGCCCGAGTACCCGAGTGCTCACATTCCTCGGGCCCGCCACGGCCGGGGCCGCCACCCATCAACATCATCCACCCACCGCCCGGCGTCACGATCCGCGGAACGCTGCCGCCTTGGCCGCGCATCACCATCGGGCGGGATCACCGCATCACGACCGAGTCGGAGCCAGATGATTGCGAGACCCAGACGGCCGAAGCTTGTACTACCACCGACTTCGTGTCGGACGGCACGACGACGTCTTCGACTACGCTGTGCGAGACCATCACCGGCTGCTCCCTCAGCGTCGAAGACTCGTCCACCGCCGTCTTCGGCAGCCAGACCGCCGCGCCCATCGGCGCTTTCAATGATGAGTCGTGGGCGACCATGACGCTCGGCGACGATTACACTAACTCGGTCTTCGCCGCCCTCGAGTCCCGCCTGGCCAGAGAGGAGGCCAGCGGCGGCGGCACCACCCTGTCCTTCACCCCCGGCCCCACTGCGGGGCCGACGTGTGGCGGCGGCGACACCACGGCCTGCGGCGGCACCATCTGCTCCGGCTACTGGTGCACTCCGGACCCGACGGGCCCGCCACCGGGGTTCAAGGACCCGAAAGACCCGAATTCCAAGGACTACTCGGCGCCAACGACCACCATCGGGACAACGACGACGGACGACAAACCGCCGCCGACCAACGACCCCGTGACGCCGCTAACGCGCGGCCCCATCAACTGCTTCAACGAGGACGACTTCCCGGGCCACGCCGACCTCCAGTCGGGCGACCAGGATGATTTCTCCGAGGAGTTCAGCAACCTGCGGACCCAGATGGGCGACAACGACCTGCTCGGGCCGGACGACCCGCCGGTCAGACTGCGCCGTGTAGACACGCACGGGGTCAACTACGATTTCTCTTGCAGCTGGGTTCCGGGGTGCAAGACCACTGTTGAAAAGCAGAGTTTCGGGTTCCCAATCGGGTCGCCTAGCGCCATCACGGCCTACTTGCTCGTTCGGGAGGATTTTACCAAGTGTAGGTGATGACCCCCCACATTCATTTTCTCGAAATTTACGTCACTTATATAATATCATGAAAATGGAAAGAAGCTGACCATGCATCTTTGACTTCCCAAATAGGCAACAATGGAGGTGTTGGTGGCTCGTGCCAGGCTGGATGCCTATTGTACACATTTGAGGGCGGGCGAGGCGGTTTGCCCGATGTCTGCAACGCCTTCGACTGTAGGGCGTGCGGGTCGCCGTTTCAGGATCCTAACTGTATGGTGTGTTGCTCAAATCTTTTTAGTGTCCTTGGATCGGGTCGCAACGCCAGTATAGCTTCTGGCCTTACTGTCATCGACACCGAAACAACATAGGCATAGAGGTATGCATTGTCGCGCTTTTACGTATAAGGCACAAGTGAAGAGGCGCTGTGCGGCGGAACTTGCCGTGTAAGACGGGTTCGCTAGCGGGATACTGTCGGAAGTGGGTCGGCATACGCTAGTTTTAGAGCAAGTTGAAGTTTTCATCACACTTGAGTTTTTGGAATATATACGAGATGTTAGTGAAGTGGCCTTTCCTCGATCTTTCCGCAGTATATCCTTACATTACAATAGATGTTACGACTGAAGACTGGGTGGGAGTTCTGTCATGGCTTGATGTCGCGCCGTCGGTTGTGACGGTGGTGGGAAGTTACAGATAGTAGATGTTCGATATGATGGTAACATGTTGATTGGATTTACCCTCTTCTCTAAGGTGGTAGATGTGCTACCCAAACGGAGCAGTGCAGCCTGCCCGCTCACCACAAGAACGAAACAGAAGAAACAGTTGGTCTACTGGGTCTAGAATAGTTCCCACAAGAAGCTGCTGCAATTCCGCCTACAAGAATGGTAATGGAACGTCGGAATCGTTGATCAACGGGAATAGGGCCGTATCACAACCAAAGGAGGCTTCCAAATAGGGGGAAGCCAAAGATCATGTAAGTGTCAAGCAGGGGACACTTCTACATGTAAAACAATAGAAGAACTGTCCGGAGTCACCACACAAGATGATCCATGAGAAATGATAATAATGAAGTCAACTAAAAGAAAGACTAATGACTGGAATACTTAAAGAACTTAAAAAACTTGTTGAAAAACTTGTTTTTCCTCCCGTGGGAGGAAAGAAAAGAAAAGAAAGTAACCATGCCCATGGCCCTTGACAAGGAATAATATTCTTCCGCCCCCATTCTTGCGGTCCAGTGGGAACGTCACTATTTCCACCACCCTCACCTTTTTCCCCGTCACAATATAATATACGAAGTAGATTGGAAAGAAAATAATATATATATCTAGCTCAGTAAACTATTTAACTTCTATTAAACTAGAAAGTATTTTATAATTAAAAGTAATAAATAATAATTTTTAAAATAAAGTTAAATATTTAATAATCTATATAAAAATATACTTTTTTATTTAATTTCTTAATAAATAATATAAAAATAGCTATTAAAAAGCTACTGTGTTGGTGCGTAGGGCGACTGGCGCCGCCACATTGCGGATCGGTGACGCCATGGAAGCCCGAAGTGCCGCGCATCCAGCCTTCACTTACATATAAAAGGCCATAGCAGCCCTAGTTTCATTGAATAGAACTTAAGGAAGAACAGCAGCGCGAGGAAGGTGAAGGAAGACATTGCAGCAGCGGGCAATCAGTCGTTTCCTGTCGGCCAGAGAGCTGTTACGAAGGTCGCTCTTTTACTATTCTTTTCTCAATACTACTTTTCTTTTATCTTAAGTTTCTTTCCTTTTCCTTGGATGTGATATCTTACGATGCAGACTCCGACTGATCGTTGACTTCCCGGTGTCCTACTTGACCATCAGACCATTCCGACGACCATTGGAGCATTCCTTCTTCGCGGCGTGGCTCCCAGCCACTGCTAGAAATTCCAGTGAGCGAGCGACGCAGTCCAGTTTGTGTTGTTAGTTGTGCTGCTCGGCTCCGACAAACTACTAACTTGAATAAATTTCTTATTAATTAAGTTAGTAGTAAAAGTTACCGCTTTCGGGCTTGCATAAAGGTCGGCCCGTGACACCCAATACCAGCTATATCTAGCTAATAGACCCCGACCCAGCGTTAGGATCGTAATGTATTAGGCCCATCCATCACTCGTTCTAAGGCAGGAACCCGCACCACACGTCTATCTTTACTGAGGTCATGCTCGGCACCATCTCGCTATAATGAGAATTTTATCTATCCGAAGATAGGCAAGCTAAAGTAGCTCGGATATTCCGCGCTGGAGTGAACTTTATGGTATCCTCTGTTGTCAACATTGGCCATTTGACCCGCAAGCTCCTGGAACGACTGGATAACCGGTGTCTGGCCAGTCACTTCAATTTGAACCGACTCGCCAGCTCCAAAAAGAATGCTAGTAGCAAACATGCCGATCTCGAGCCTGACAATCTGGCCCCTGGGTACCTTGTCTACTTTCGAGTGCGGGTGGAAAGGGTAGTTGGGGTGCATTGACTTGGACCAGTCAACTTCGCGGTGCGACGCGCGGAGCATGCCCAGAGGACCCATGTATAGCAAGATGTCAGTCTGCTTTTCCTTGGGAATCTCGTCGGGAGAGTTAGGCTGGATATTATCCCAAGGACAGTTTAGTGACAACAGAGGCTTGCCGTCCTTATCAAGCTTGCGTAAGAGCACATAGACATCAAAGTCGTCAAGGTCGTCGCACGACATGTACAGCACGGCTTTAGGAATGCCGCATAATCGAGTCGGCTTGTCGAATTTGAAGACCCATCTAGAAGACGAGTTGTCATCTTCCGAGTTGTATGATTCGAAAAAGCCCGTGCCGGGGGGGCCTCGGTCGCTTAGAGCGGAATTGGCGTGTAGGTAAAAGGGTACGTCTTTGGTCTGGGGCGGCGGGAAGCTCTCCATGGGCTCGTTGAGAATGGGGGGTTTGGTACCAAATTGAAGTGTCGATAAACGGACATGAGGAGTGCTTTCCCAGTTGTTCTCGTCGCCCTTGAGATAACGATCGAAAAAGGCTATGAGCTCCGCGGTAGACTCCGGCACAGCCCAGATATCGTGCCACTCCTGGTAGGGGCTGAGTCGAAGCCATTTGTCCTTGCAGCCGATCTCCAAAAAGCCGCGGATGGAGCCCATGGTGTGCAACGGGGTGTTAAACGACGCAGTCACATACGCAGGGACGTTAATCTTGGTCATATCTGGTCGTTTGTCGTACCAATATGGATTTCCCACGCCGCCGCTCCGGCGATACATTTCTTTAAAGTCCTCCATCCCATGGCGTCCCTGGATCATAACTCCGCTGATGTGGTCAAAAAAGTTACCGGCCCAAATGCCGCCTCGTACGAACTGTTCTCTGAATAGGTCCCCGCAACCTTCCCACGGCGCGATGGCCTTGAGATGGGGTGGGCGCTGCTGAGCAATAAACCATTGCGCGATGGCAAGGTGTGAGTTGCCGGCCAGGCCCACGTTGCCATTGCACCATGGTAAAGCTGCGATTGCTTCCACGCAGTCGTATCCGTCCTCGCCCTCCTGCGTTCCCATGATGACACACATGCCAGCCGAGTCACCAACGCCTCTGGTGTCGGCATTGACAATAGCGAAGCCCTTCTCGACGTAGACTGCCGGGTCTAGACCCTCGAATTTCTCGAGGCCGCTCAGGGTCCCTTTCGGCACGCCCATATTATAGGATGTCATCATTTCCAGGAATTTGATGCCATTCAATTTCTTGCCGAATGGGCTCCACGAGATGATGGCCGGAACCTTTGTGTCCGAGTCCGTCGGGCGGTAGATATCGACGTAAATGACACATCCATCGCGAAGTTTGACAGCGACGTCGTGCTCGACCAAAATGTCACACGACAGCTTGCGTTGGCCGAAAGGGGCAAAGCCTTTGGGAAGAACCTCAGACTTGTTGAGGAAACCTCGGTAGCCGTTCCGGCCAATAGTTGGGGGGTCGATCTTCTTACAAGCGATCTGGCAGGGAGCGGGCATCTTGGATGGTGGCGGCGTGTTGATGTGTTGATGGTAACTAATACGTAAACTCGTGTCTTTGCCCCGATACTGCATGAATTTTAGGATAAACCTCCTACAAATACCAAATACGGTCAGGGAATGGCACCAGCTTCCAGCCTTTATTTGGTTGACAGACTAGCGCCCTAGCAAGATGTGGCCTGGGCAGTGGGGGTTTCTGTCTCGTATTCCGCGGATTAAGCAAATGATTTTACTGCATATTCCGTGTCCATGTCCCCGGATCCCTGACGCCAATCTGGGATCCTCGCTCTGCAGCTACACCACTTGTAGAAATCCTCTTTCTCTCTGTACTTCGTAATCCTAAAAGGTTTATTGGCTTTACTTCTGGCCATTATCCCGTGGGGAGTTTCTGTACCCCAGATCGGAGTCTCCGCGTTCTGTCTACAATCCTAAAAGGTTCATTGGCTTTATTCCCCTGCCTATTTCGTATTACCCCGTGGGGATTACCCCGGATCTTCCCCGGTTTCTATCTGCAAATCCAAAAGGTTCATTGGCATTGCTTGCCCGACCCCATGAGACAACCCCGTGAGGAGTCCAACATCGAGCGCCGGGACCAGAGCGTCCAGTGGACTGACTATATATAACCCAAGAACGACTGAGAGATTGCCCGGAGCCCTTTGTTTCGTCTACACTATCAGCATCTTCATCCTTTCCCTTAGAGTTATTACACTTTGTGCACACCACCTGACCTTCATCACGATGGATCAATCCAAAGTCTCGCCCGATCTTCCAAAGGATGAGTTGATTAATGAGGCCGCAGTTAAGGCTGTCGGTATGGAATTGGCGTCGGTCCTTCCCAAACACGACAAGCCCTGGTTCCGGCAGAAGCACCTGTTGCAGCTGAACTTTTTGATCATTTTCCTGCTTCTGACTCCTGCGAGTTTGGGATTTGATGCGTCCATGATGAACGGTCTTCAATCCCTAGAAACTTGGAGGGACTACTTTGGCGAGCCCAAAGGAGCCAAACTCGGTTTCATGAACGCGGTCATGCCCTTGGGTGCTGTAAGTGACAGACAAGCCATCGCCTCGACGATGCACAATGCTAACGTTCAATGTTTGCACTAGCTTATCGGCTCATTGCCGGCTGGTTGGACTGCCAACTATCTCGGACGCAAGTACACCGTCATGACAGGTCTCATTATTCTGATCAGCTCGGCAATCCTGCAAGGCTGCGCCCCCAATTACGCAGCCTTTGTGTGTGCCCGCTTCTTCATTGGGATTGGAATTGAATTTACTGCGCTGCCCTCCCCGGTTCTCATATCCGAGCTCGCGTATCCGACCCATCGAGGCAAGATCACCAGCTTATACCAAACGCTTTTTTACCTTGGCGCCATTGCATCGAGCTGGACCATATTCGGCACTTTCAATATTACCGGATCGACTTGGAGCTGGCGCATTCCCTCCCTCCTGCAAGCCTTCTTCCCCGTCATTCAGCTCGTCGGGTTATACTTTGTCCCCGAATCGCCTCGATGGTTGATCGCTCGAGGAAGGACGGCCGAAGCACGGGCCATCTTCGCGAAATATCATGCCGCTGGCAACGACGCAGAGCCTCTTGTAAGCTACGAGGTGTCGGAGATCACGGCCCATATCGAGGCTGAGAAAGCCGTTGCGGGAATGAGTTACCTTGACGTGAGTTTCTTCTCCTTCACCCTGAACATCTCTTGAAGAATCTTGTTAGCTAATGAAATCCCACACCAGTTGCTCAAGACAAACGCCGACCGAAAACGCATGGCTGTGTGTCTTTTCACAGCTTTTATTTCGAACTGGTCCGGTAATGGCATCATTACCTACTACTTAACCTTGATCCTCAGCTCCGTGGGTATTACCAGTTCCTTTGACCAGACCTTGATCAACGGCGTCCTCCAAATCTTCAACCTCTTTGCTGCCATCTTCGGTGCCATGCTGGTTGACCGCGTTGGCCGCAGACCACTGTGGATCGTATCGTGCACTGGGATGCTTCTCACTTATATCATTCTCACGATTCTTTCTGCGGAATTCGTCAAGACTGAGCAAAGAGGCCTCGGAATCGGCGTCATTGTTATGCTTTTCCTATACTTCTTCCACTATGATATTGCAGTGACGCCACTCACCTTCGGTACGTATTTAAGGCTTTTCTTCAACCTATATGCTCAGTATTGACCAGCGTCGCTAGCGTACCCCATCGAAATCTTCCCTTTCCATGCTCGTCAGAAGGGCATGGGGATTGTCATGTTCTTCAATGGCGCCTGTGCCCTGACGAACACTTTTGTCAACCCCATTGCTTTGGAGAACATCGGCTGGAAGTACTACATTGTCTACGTGGCTCTTCTACTGCTTATGCTCGTCGTTGTCATCCTATGCTTTGCTAAGACTAAAGGACACTCTCTGGAGCAAATTGCAGATATCTTCGAAGGCCCGTTCATAGTTGTTGGGAAGTCTCGCCGCAGAAAGTCGGAAATAGCGATTATCGAGGAGAAGGTCCTTGAAAAGGGTGGCCAAGCAGTTATGATTGAGGATGTCGCGGACACGAAAGTGGCTCCGGGAAAGGAGTAGGCGGGTATGCCGTCGTGGACTCTAAGGGAGAAGTCATGTCATTGTTGCTGGCCAGTCTTGTAATAGTTGGGCTACCTGACTTTTAGTACCTCAAGATTGACTCGTTTTGAGAGATTATTCAGCACATCCTGGTGCATAATCGACGGATTTCACTGAGTATAATAATAATACAATCTTGCATCCAGTGGCCAAGAGGGATAGTAGTAGAATTCATGATGTTATCACGCACCGCGACTCTGGGCATCGTCTGGTCTCGGTAGTAACAGCGCTGAGGCCACATGGCTCTACTATCATTCCCAGACTGTGTTCTCAGAAATGATGAGAAGAATAGATCTAGATCTGCCACGTCATCCAAGTCACCAATCCAGCTCACGCGCTGGTGGGAAGACACGATGACGAGACGGCCATTCTTTCAATCGATGCCGTAGCTCGCATGTGCCCGTATTATATCGTCGACAGCAATCCTAGAATTGATGGAAAATTTCAGGGAGCGAAAGTTAGTTAACTGTTTCCCGTGGGCCGAATGAACTATGAGAATCTTGAACATTGACTAGAGACTGCTCTCATCCTTGTCTAGGATGAATTAGTGAAGAAAAGAGCCTGGGTAGCTGAGAGCGCTGCCCCCAAGGAAGACACGTCGACAAGAGACCAAAGACAAGTAGAGGCCGGAAGGCTACCCCATGGATGTCCAAATTCTTCGATGTCTAGCACAGGCATAAATTGCCGAAGGTGTGCGATACACTAAATTAGTTCAGAGCGTGGGGGAGAGGGGCCAAGCGAGGGGAAGCGGTTGGGGTCTTGCGGGGAGCAAGAAGCTCTCCAAAGCTGCTGCGCCTACTCCGGGAACTCTCCGCGGAATAAGAAATAAGGGCGATGTGACCCCCATAGCGCGGATCCCATAGCATGGTACAATAAAAGGGCAGCACAGGAGAGCTTGGCGGTTGGAATAAGAGAGCTTGATGTATAGAGCTCGTCACTGACATAACCATAAGATTGCGTGTTATATCAAAAAGAAAAAAAAAGAAAAAAAAGTTTATCGTCTGTTTGAGCCAAAGTGAATCGGCCTCAGGCACACCGTTGATAGGTATGGCTGCCTCCAGGTACAAGGATGTCGAGGTTATACAATTGCCAGCGACGAAATTGGGCCCCGAGTTTTGTTACGTCCCTCCGGCCAATCCAGGAGGATCAAAACTCCTGAAAGCAGGAACCGTTCAAAAGGAAGCTCACCGACCGCTCTTGTGTGACATTCTCGTGGAAGAAGAGATCCCCATCAAGACTCGCGACGGCACCGTTCTCTACGCAGACATCTACAGGCCCCCCAACCACACCAAGGTTCCCGCAATCATCTCCGGAGGTCCGTTCGGCAACCGAGGTGGCCCTTATGGCGCCGCATTTGACAAGGCCCCTTTCCGCTTTGGTTGCCCGAGGATTGCCACATCGGGACTTGAGAAGTTTGAAGGACTCGATCCTGGCTATTGGTGCTACCACGGCTATGCTATTGTACATACTGGTGAGATTGACTTCTGTCCTCCTCGCAACAACTTTCGAACGTTCCGCTAAGATTGGTTCACCCTCCTCAGACTGCCGGGGGACGTGGAACTCTGAAGGAGACGCAAATTTTCCGTGCAAGCAAGAAGGAGAGGATAACTACGACATCATCGAGTTCATTGCCCAGCTGCCATGGTGCAATGGACGCACGTCTATGGCGGGAAACAGCTACCTCGCCTTCACTCAGTACTGGGCCGGAGCAGAGAACCCCCCTCATCTGACCTGCCTAGCCCCATGGGAAGGCTTCTCGTCACTTTATGAAGAGGTCATCCGACCAGGAGGTAAGTAGAATGGGAGGCCACCACCTCAGATCGAGAGACAATTAACTGACCATCACTTTTCCCCTCCACAGGCTGTCCAAATCCAGGCTTCTCAAGCGGCATCATGACAAGCTCATTTGCCAGTCTAAAGGGCGGCAAGGTGCCCGATGTTGTCGCCATGTGTTACAAGTACCCGACGTGGAACGATTACTGGGAAGCTCATCGTGCCGCAGTCGAGAAGATCAATGTTCCCATTTACGTTGTTGCGAGTTGGACCAACTTCCTACATGTTACTGGCACCCTTCGTACATTTCAAAACTGCAGTAGCAAAGAAAAGTGGCTGCGAATTCACAACACGCATGAATGGCCTGGTAAGACTTCTCCATTCGTCTGCTGTTTTAGTCATCCAGTGTATGTGCTGACTTTGTATGTATGGCAGATCTGTACGACGAGCAGAACACGGAAGACTTGCGCCGCTTCTATGACTATTACCTCAAGGATGTCAACAACGACTGGATCTACACCCCGAGGGTAAGAATGTGTGTTCTGAATGCCGGGGGCAGGGACATCGTCAACCGACCAGAGACATCATTCCCGCTGGCGCGTCAACGCCCATGCAGACTCTATCTGAACCCCAACGGGAATTCCCTGTCGCGGACACCCTTGTCGACCGAGGCCACATTTTCCTACGAAGCCGGGAAGGGGGATGCGACGTTCACATTGCCATTTACCGAGGGTCCCATCGAATTTTCAGGCTACGTCATGCTTCGGCTCTGGGCGGAAGCAGAAGGATCGGACGACATGGATGTATACGCCACTTTCCAGAAGTTCGATTCGAAATCCGGAAAGCCGCTGCAGCCCGTGGTAGTTGACGTTGGCCGACTCCAGCCGAATCCGGAGGAAGGCCGGAAGCAGCTCTACGAGAAACCCGACGGCGAGAACGAGACCTTCGGGGCGGAGTTCTTTAATGCTGGACCGATTGGCTGCCTGCGGGCTAGCCACCGCGAGATTGACCAGGCGAGGTCCACGGAGTTTCACCCTCGTTATACGCACCGTGAGGAGCAGATGCTCCAGCCGGGCCAGATTGTCCAGTTGGATATTGCCATCCCGCCGTACGGCATGATCATTAACGGAGGAGAGGAGCTGCGTCTGACCATTTCGGGTTACCATCCCGATCCTCACTGTCGCCCAACTGACCCCAAGCCGGAGCTGCGCAATAAGGGCAGGCATATCATCCATACTGGAGGTAAATACGACTCTCACCTTGTCTTGATGCATATCCCTGAGAAGAGCGCCGAGGAGTGATCGTCAACTTGACAACTATTTGTCAAATGAGACCGAGAGGCGACACATCCTCGTGTCACGGAAAAAGCCATGTTGTTATTTAAGTTAGATGTTTTAAGCTATACGCGCTCCTGACTAGGAACATGAACGTAAAAGTTTTCCTCATTACTAGTGATCCTTGCTGCTCTAGGCTTGAATGGTAAGAACTACTTTCTTGCATATTGATCCTATCTGAATTCCTTTTCTCGCTTGGGAGTCTGCTCACCCTAGCTAGAGGTGTGATGTTTTTCTTCCTCCTCAGAAATTGAAAGTTGGAGTCAAGTTCCCACGCAAACACTTGTTAACTTTAAAGTATCACCATCACTACGTTATTGTAGGATCACCACAATCCCTGCTGGCGCCCCCATCTCCCATCAGCGGCCACAGCTGTGTATTCCACGCAGTCGAATGGTCCCCAAAAAAGTCCCCCAACTGCAGACCACTAACATCCACCGGTAAGCCCATGTTCCCCGCGTCGGCCAAGAACGATGGTGTAGAGGAGGGATGCGACGGAGCCGGCGTCACGACCCAGTTATCGCCACTATCTTGATGTGAACTACTACCGCCGACCAAGTCGAGAGCCACGCTTGGAGTGGCTGCAGCGCTCGCAGAGGAAAAGTTGTCGGGGGCGGCCATTTTCGTCGACTGGTCTATCAGTGGCCAAGTTCCCATAGACTGTGTGCTAGGGGTGGGCCTCTGAGGCGGCGTGAGTTGGTCTTGTCCTTGGAGCATTGGTGTTAATCTCTCGGGATGGTTGCGTCGCTGGGCTGCAGCTTCTGACCTCTCCATAGCTTCTGTCAACCAAGCCATAAGAGATCTGAATCGGCTGCCGGCGGCTGGGTCACGGCTCTGTTCAAAGCACGGCTGTATGCTACGCATCAATGCTAGGTCGGTGGGGACCGACCACCGTAGTGGCGATTGCATGATGCCAATATATAGGGCCATTACGGCATTAATCGCGTAAGGATGTATTAATCTGTTTCCGCCCAATCGGTCAGCCATATGCCGACAAGCGATATACAACAACATGGGGAGTTGAGTCCGAGAGGGGAGGATGTTGACACGGTGACGAGATAGGGGTCGACGAAAGGTCGGTTGTAGGACTCACCCGAGCATTCGGAAATTATGACATTCCATGACAGCGTGATTCACCGAGCGGATCAATGACCTAGCCGCACTGATACAGACAACATCCGAGGCCGCGATTCTCCGGTTTTCATGCGTCTTCATCAGGTGCACTCTTTCAGCCGTGGATACCAGCGAAGCTCGATGGATGATGATGATGGCATTGTAATATGTGCAGTGGAGCATCGCGGAAGCTGTCTCCGAGACGTCGTCTCCGAGCGCGTACAACTCCCGATCCGGTTGCAGCTCTTCCGGTAGCGAGTCCCGCCATGAGAGCAGGTCGTTGTCGGCCGCAGCCATCCTCCTCACTAGCTCGTCGTTGTTTACCCGGGACACGTCTCTGTGGAATAGGCTTCGAGAGATACTCGACAGGATCTTCGTCAAACTAATAAACGATGAGAGGAAGACGAATCGGCCACCGCTCTGGGTCTGGGGTAGTTCCGCATCACAATTGTCGTCGTGGATTGTAGATAGTCGGCCACCTTCAAAAGAGAGCTTCCTACGCAAGTTCGGATTGTCATCAGCACCAAGAACCAGAAACGAAATAAGAGAACAGAACCCGACATACTTATCCAAACAGTAACACGTCCACCAAATCCGGTTTCTTAGATCGTGGTCTTTGAGAATGTAAGCGATTTCACGCGGATGACGATAAATGAAGAGACTTCGGTGAAGGCCGATGGACTGTGCCATTTGGGCGGCAAATGCTATGCAGAGGATTGCCTGCCCATCCTTTCCTGCCTCTAGGAAGCATAATGTCTGGAGCCACGCCACCCAGGAGGTAAGTTGCGTTGTCGAAAAGTCAAGCCATTTCTCGAATATTCAAGGGATGAAGACATACCATGAGGATAAATGCTTGGACACTGGGCAAGTACGGCCTAGCTACCAAGTGGTTGTACAACTCGAACGCCCTTCTTAGGTGGGAGTCGAATATCTCAGTCGAGGTCGCTCCCAATGTGACGACTAATAAGATACAGGCGATCTGCACAGAATTCAGGTTGGCATAGTCGGCTATGTAGAAATCGCAATAGTTCTGTCGAAATGCAGATTCATCCAGAATTGGGAAGAGAATATGGTACGTAAGGAAGTAGCCTTGTGGGCCAGCAGCTGTCAGCTTAACCTAACCCCCAATTAAATTAAAAGGGGAAGCAATAATAGAATCGAATTGGCTGGGGACACTCTATAAAAAGGGGCTGGGTCTGTTACGAAGGTGTCATACGCTGAACACACTTGTCGGCCACCTCTTGCGCTACAAGAGGACGTTGAATCGGCATAGGCAGGGGGAACTCTTCAGCAAATGTCATCATTGGACAAAAGAAGTCCATCACGTTCATCTGGCTGAAATGGCTGAAGACCTGCTGAGCGAGCCTGGCCAGGACTTGCGGGGAGCTGAGACCGACAAATTTCGCGTCGATGGGCGAATGCCCTACTTCGGTAGTGACGACTCCCTGCAAATTGAGCTCGGAATCGGCCATATTTCGACCGGCGGTTTGGTCCAGAGGGAGGGTCCCAAGCATGCCCGTGGCTCCAGCGTCCTCTGCAGCTGTGTCGACGGCGGACACCTGAGACTCTTGATTTTGCGACCGCTGACTGGGCCGGCCTTGCTGAACCCGGCGGAAGAACGCGCCGTTCCGCGTTATTACGCATTTCTCTCCATACACCTCGCAGTTACGACAAGAGCCGGGGATGTTATCACATCGGATCTAGTCGGTTCATTCAGTCAGTTGAGGTATCTTTCTTAACTGCCCCGTCCATCACCCCGCACAGCTTGAGCACCCTGAGAGTGGCAGCACTTACTTTGCGTTGACGACAAGAATCACACTAGATATCACAGTGAGTGAATATAACATAGATGAGATGCGGCTGATCAATGTAGGGGTTACCCACTGCTCTTAGGCGGCGCTGTTTTGGACGGGGCCGGTTGGAGGCGGAGGTCGATGCTACCACAACAGAGGCCGCATCGGAAACCGCATCGGCAGGCTGCACTCCCGGGGAATTCATTGATTGACGGGATCGGGATTTTGGCTCGGTTCGTTGCGCGGGATTAGGATCGGCGAAACAGAAATCGCCGGGTCAGTAATTCCAGGGTGCAGAAGGGTGAAGGCACTGGACTGGTCAGATCTCGCTCGCGAACTGGGGCGAGGGGCCGCGGCATAGGCGTATCACGTGGTATGGCCGGGGTGAATACAGCGGTAAGAGAATGCTTTTCATTCAAGTTTTCTACGCAAATTCTTAGGCAAGCTGGATAATAAGACTGGGGCTTCTACAAGGTTAAGGGGCTCCAACAATACACTACTCGACTCGACTCGTGTGCAAACGAGGAACTGCGCGTAGAGTTAGAGGCCACAAATAACCCCTCTTCTTGGAAGGGTGGAGGACTGAAAGAAGCTTGCAAGTATCTTTTGATCACACTAGAAATTGCGATTTCCAGTGCAGATGTGTAAATCTAGAAGTACAGGGCAGGTCAGGGGCGGCAGCACTACACTAGTACTCGCTAAGAAATCGTGCTGTCAGAGTAAAGATACTACACACAGTGAAGGTCGGCCGCAGGGGAAGTGTATTCGAATCAATTGATTTGTCAACTAAACTACCTTAGTAAACTATGCCAAGACAAGGCAGGGATTCGATCAACTCCACACTTCCCCGCACCCCACAAAGCTTTGCGTTTATATGTGTCGGCATTAGTCCCAGATCCCGCAACGTCCGCGTAACCCGCGGCTTACTCGGGATAAGGCGAACAACAACGAGAGCCCGGCCTGTCCGGTGAGATGGCACAGAGCTGGCCACGGAGGAATCTGCCGAGATGTGACAATGGTTTGTGTAAGTCGTCGACTTGTCCTCTGATCGATCGATCAAGATTCAATCAACATGTGGGATATAACAGTTGAAAATCCTCGTTCATGATTGTCCACAAGGTAAACATCTCTCAACTTTTATAACATCTATGGATATATTCTAGAAAAAAATCAACTCGTCATAACAACCAAAAATCATCAAGCCCGAAATAAGATAATGCCTTCTGCTACCGTACTCGTCAACAACACTTCCGGCAAAGCCCCATTGAAGACGAAGGCGAGTTTGCCTCTCAACGCTATTAGCAAGACCAACGGTGATTACCTCCCAAACAGCCATGGTGTGAAGTACGACTACGCAACCACGGAGGTCGGTGGAAACACAGACATCCTCGACAAACAGGCCAGCACCGAGTTCGGGGACTGGAGGGATGAGTTTTTCCGGGATGGATATACGGTGGTTAAGGAGGCCATTCCACGCGAGCGCGCTCTAGACTACCAACGCCAAGCCCTAGAATGGTTCGGAAAATTCCCCTTTGGCTTCAACATCAACGACAAGAGCACTTGGGTGAATGACAAATTGCCCGTCATGATGAAAGGTGGCATGATTCTCAACTACTGCGCGGCGCACGAGAAGTGGGTGTGGGAGGCCCGGTGGTGAGTGTCTTCCCACTACCCTCGGATGTGTACTAGTAGTGCTAACTCCGCGGATCATATTAGCGAACGGGGTGTTATCGAGCCCTTCGCCAAACTCTGGGGAACCGATGAACTTCTCGTTTCATTTGACGCCGTCAACATTACACTACCTGGCCGAACCGATGTGAAGTGGGCGCCTTGGCCTCACATTGATCAGGCACCCACCCGCAAGGGTCTTGCCTGCGCCCAGGGTATCATTAATCTCTCCGAGGCAGGCCCACGAGATGGCGGCTTGCAACTTCTCCAAGGCAGCTCCAAACTCTTCGAGCAGTTCTTCGAGGAGCACCCTCCCAAGCCCAAGGATGCCGACTCTCCGGGTCAGCTCGACTGGTATGGCTTTTCTCTCGAGGATGTCAAGTGGTTTGAAGACCACGGTTGCAAGCTTATTAAAGTGGATGCCGAGCCGGGCGATGTCATCATATGGGACTCACGTACCGTGCATTACGCTAAGCTACCGGAGAGTGATACCGTTCGAACGATCATTTACGCAACCTACACGCCGGCCAAGCTAGCCAGTCCTAACGACATAGCTCTCAAGGCAGATCTCTTTCACCGATACGAGGCCACGACTCACTGGCCTCACTGTAACATTTTTGGCCAGGGTAAGGCCCTGAGGGATGGAAATATTTGCCCTGGTGAGCGTGAGGAGCCCCTCGAGAAGCCGCAGTTGACGGACAAGCTCCTGAAGTTAGCAGGAGTAAAGGCATACTAAGAAAGAGGCCCGGATTGCGCCGTCCATCCCTTTAAATTGTTTATGTCACAGGCCGACCTTGTGTGGGCGGCCCAAAGCGGTGACATGCCGGCAGAAACGAACGGGTGCGGACATCTGGCTGCCAGGTATACATGCACAAGGGCACAATTGGAGGAGGGAATGAACAGTCACAGCCTCAACTGCGTGTGTTATTGACTTCTAAGTTACTACAAAGCCGCCCATCCCCAGTGCTGAGTCCAGAATCCTCAAAATGATAAGACTACACTACACAGGCGTATTATTAGTCCGGCCGGAGGCGAATTGGTGCGAAGGACAGTGTTCGGTCGATTTATCGGCTTAGTTTTGAAATTTCGCCGTGTGATGGACCATATTCTTGGCGGCAAAATCGGTACTAATTATACTTTAAGTTGTCCGCTATCCATCGTTGCTCATTAAAGACGTTGTAGACCCTGGAGACTTAAGTGTCTACGCGTGCGAGCGAATTACAAATTTATTGTCTACTTAAATTCCTCGACGACAATCAACCGCAGTCTGATTCTAGTTCTACACTTGTAGTGAGCACAAATGACTACACCGCTTTTCTTCGTTATTGCCCGCGTTGTGTCGAGAGAGGGAGCCTTGAAGAAGGTACGGATAAAACCATCCCGAGCCCAGTATCCCTAGCCTTCACTCTCCTTATCCCTCGCACGTTGGCCTTGCTTCTCTTTTTTTTTTTTTTTTTTTTTTTTTTTTTTTCTCTCTCTTCCTTCCACCTTTCCGCGTTCCTCCCATGTCTCAAATAATGTTGTTCTACTCAGAGACTCGCTACTTGTGCGCGCGAAAGTTGGCTAATATGGCAGTCTACTTCTACTTTGCAGTGGCGGCAAAGGCTCGTCGGTCTCTGTGCTGTTTCCAAGACAGAACCTTACTCGAACTCCTATTACTGGGGCCACGATCTTGATGGAGAACCAGACACGCTTTGGGGTCTAGAAGGCTACCACCACCCGGTGGGATTCTTCATGAATCATGTGTCGTCAGATACCTTCAAGGAAGAGATGAGACTTGTTGACGAAGACAAACTGCTGCGCAATACCCAGGGCCTCGGCAGTCCCGACTATGATCTGCACCACTACGACTTGTTCTCCGGCTTTGTAACAAGAGAGAACGATGCTGATGCCCACGCCGAGGACAGCTTCGTCGTAGTCATCCATTACTGGGCTCTGAATGGAAAACGCAAGCAGTTACTTGGGGCCCTAGCGGACTTTGCTGACCGCGTCACTGCTTTGGAGAAGCTGCCGCCAGTTACAATTCAGAGCTTTGCCGTACTAAAAGAGCTTAATGATTTGAACCTAGCTAGTGTTTACATTCGGTGAGTACTGGTGATCTCGAAGCTTGATGCCTCGGTGAGTTCTAATAGTGTTTATTTAGGGCTAGGTCGAAGTCGGACTGGGAGACGTTCGAACAATCGAGTTTATATCAAGAACTACAACCCGACATAACCCCTTTGGTCGTGAAGCAGGAAATCCATAGATCTCAGGCATTTATTGGGCACATTGGCCAAGAAGCACCAGTCGGTAAACCATAGTGGGCACATCGTGGAATACGGCGGTTGTCAAGTTGGGGCACAGTTATCAACACTCTGTGATATTCGAGGTATTCTGCGAAGGTACATTAGGCAGTATATGATATAATCGGGGCTCCGTGTTGCCAATTTGGACATGGGCAAGCACATTCATGTAATATGATTGGCCAATATCTTTAGATCGACAGATCTGTCAGAACGAGACTCTGAATTGTTAAACCGTACGAAGTAGACCACTAAGTCAAGCCCCAACCAGCCACTTCTTAAATCCAGGCTTCATTTTTGCTGAAGTTGATGATTGTCTTGCGCAGCAAATTTACCTCGGGTAAAGGAGCGAAGACGAGTTACTCGAAACGAAACACAACCCTGTGGGCATTTGCAACCCCTCAATTGTTGAAGAGTAAAGAGCTGTTTTACACTCTGGGCAGAAACTGTGTACATCTGGAACTGGACCTCGGGGGAAGGGGGATTGCGTGTCAAACCGGCGACCGTGCTGCCGTTTGACCCATAGATTCCGACGAAGAGGTCGATAGGTTTTTACGTGTTTTCGGGCTCTCGGCGAAGCGGAATACGCCTATTTCTATTTCCACGGTGGGATCTACCAGCTATATCCCGATTCCCAGCCCGACAAGCTATGATGCCGCAACAAGGTATTACCTAGAAATAGAAGGAAACGGGTATCATTAATTGTTGCATTAGATCAATAGAATGTTCCATGCTCATAAGTTCATTGAGACACATGTACCCTCATGCATATTCATAAATAGCGCAGTCCATTAATATTGACAGCTTTGTAGTAGGAAGAAGATGATGATACAGACCACTTTTGTGAAGGCTAGAAGGGGTTTTGTAGTGTATCTGGACTCTGAAGGTGTGCTGCCCAAGCTTTGATGCTGGCCGCAGTCACGGCAATGATAATAGGGAAGTTTTGAGTTCCCCGTGGTAAATGACCCGAGTTTAATTGCTCTCGTGTTTAATGTTTACAACTATTCGAAGCCCAACGAGTAACTCTACTATAACCGACGAAGACACCATCAGCATACATGTGACTCTTCTGACAAGTTTCAACGAGATTATTATAATTCTCTTCAACAACCTTGTATGTCAGTGACCCTGAAACATGAGGACCTGTTACCTTTCAGCAATTGGGATTTAGAATGGCTTCTTTGCCTCGGCAGAGGGCCAGCCCCCCCGCAGCAGCACATTGCATACGAGTGTAGGCTCTCGAAGGCAAGTCGCAGTCTTCTAAATGGTGCCTAAAATCTCTTCTTGGCACGCTGTGAATTTCTGTCATTTCCCCAAGGAAATGGTCCGGTTGGCCTGCCTTCGTCGAGCGGCCTATCCTAATTGTGCCGGCGCCGGTCTATTGCAGCGAAAGTTGGTCCGATCCGTCACTCCAGCTGCCAATAAATAACATCAATATTGGTACTTCGCTGTTGACCATAGATGGGACTCGAACGCTGGCACATTATGTGTTCGACCATTGATCGATAAATATCAAACGCTAGCAGCAAAGCAACATGAATCCTTCTCAAGTCCACTCGCTGAATCACCTTTTTGGAATGCAGTTGCCACCATTAAGCAAGAATATTTGGGTTGCGGCGGGCATCCTCTGCGCAGCGGCAATCTACCGCCTGCTAAAGATCGGCAGTCGTGATCCACGAATGCCCAAAGGTCCCCCAACCGTTCCTATCCTGGGCAATTTTCATCAGATACCGTCTTCTGGCCTATATTCGAAGTAAGACGCCGACAAAAGTTGCTCGAATTTGTTGTTCTTTCCTAACGATGTCACACAGGTTCCGAGATTGGGCAAAGGAGTATGGATCAGTCTTCTCGCTCAAATTTGGTCCCTCTAACATCATTGTTCTCTGCGATCGAAAAGCTATCCATGCACTCTTGGACAAGAAGGGCGCCATCTACTCAGATCGACCAGCCAGTTACGTAGGAAAGCTGTTGACGCAAGGTGACCACATCGCCCTAGAACAAATGGATCCCATCTGGCGAGAGAAACGCAAAGTCATCTCGCACAACTTCTCGCCCAAGAACCTGGATGAAAAGCATTTTCGAGTCCAAGAAGCCGAGTATGTTAGGATCTTTGTCCCTGTCGTGTAGGCCATGTTTCTGACAATTGAGGCCACAGGGCGGGTGTACTCCTCAATGATCTTCTAGAGAATCCCGAAGGCTTCTTCAACCATGTCCGAAGATATACTGCATCATCAGCTTCTGTCCTTGCTTTCGGCCACCGAGGACGTACTTTTGACTCTTTCTGGGGCCATGTGAGTATCGCTATATATCCGCGTACCCTCGCACCCATTTCTCCCTCGTGTTCATCAAATTCTCACTACATGTCTAGGTCGTCTACGATGTCATGGATAGGTGGACCGAAGCCATGGAACCTGGAGCCAACCCTCCCGTTGACGAGTACCCGATCCTCAAATTAATTCCGATGCGATTCGCCTACTGGAAGCGACGCGCAGTTTCCGCAGGCAAAGTATTTGATTCCATGTGGGGCAAAGCCCGCAGTATTGTCGATGACCGCCGCTCTAGGGGAGACAAGCGCGATTGTATTATGGATCGTCTGCTGGACGAGTACAACAGAAAAGGGTGGCCCATGTCCCAGCATGCATTTAACAACCTTGTGGGAGAGGTAGTTGAAGGCGCCGCGGATACTACTGCCGCTCAAATTTTGACACTTATCTTGGCTTTTGCAAAGCATCCTCACGTTCAACGAAAGGCTTGGGAGCAGATCGATAAGGTCTGCCTACCCACGAGGATTCCGACATTTGCTGACTTCAATAACATTCCCTACATCAACCAGATTGTGAAGGAAGGGATGAGATGGAGGCCAGTGTGAGTTATCGAAAACCTCTAACCGCACCTCAAAACGACTTCATCTAATGATAATATGGGCATTAATTAGCGCCGTCACTGGGCTCCCGCATCGGGTTCGTGAAGGTAATTTGGCTTGACCCTTGCCGTTACTGAACTGGCCGAGACTAACTTTTGTGATCCAAGACGACTGGTATGAAGGGATGCTTATTCCCAAGGATTCTACGCTCTTCGTACCCGTGTGGGCTCTACATCACTCCGAAGAATTGTTCAAAGATAACGATACTTTCGACCCGGAGCGATACGCAAACCATCCCAAGCTGGCAAATGACTATGCAGGGAGCCCAGAATGGAGCAACCGAGATAAGTATCCCAACGCCGTATCAGGCTGAGTGTAACGACTAACTTGTCTGGCTTGGCTTTATACATCACTATGGCTACGGTGCTGGCCGTCGTCTTTGCCCCGGCATTCACTTTGCCGAACGAAACATGTGGCGAATCGCCGCAAAACTGCTCCGGGCGTATGAATTCGCCGAACCTATCGATCCTATCACCGGAGAGACTATCCCGCTGGATGCAAATGCGTATAATTCTGGCATCTTGCACGCACCTCTGCCGTTTAATGTACAGATCAAGCCACGGAGCAAGCAGCACGTTGACACGATCAGGACAAACCTCGACGCCTCTTTGGACTTCCTCAAAGCTTGGGAATGATGTTGGCCGTATCTTGGATGGGTGAATAGGTGGGACAATCCTATGCAGGGCAGGGGAACTGGGCGATGCTGCCAGCCACTTTCATAGCGGTGAAGGGAATCTTGATACGGACGGTGACTTGTAAATATCGAGTGTTCATTATATTATTAACTGAATGCAGTTTTGTGTTCTGGGGCCCATATCATTTCTGGAAGCTCATCCCTTGCTTACCGATAAGGCATTCAGCAAGTTGTTGATAGATTACTTCTTCTGTACTCCGAGGCTTGCAGAGGAAATCCATGTGGATCTAAGTTAGGGATAAGCTCTTAATTACCTGGAGCTATACCAGTCTTTACCCGTGATTCTGCTCGACTTTGCGGTTGGAAATCTCGAAAATCGGTTCGGGGAGGACACGTTCAGATATCGTCAATAGAAAACCATCTGTGTAGATGCGGCACGGTTAAGCCAGCTCTCCCCAGAAGCGGAGGTCATTAGCCGGACAACCGGCCCGGGCTGTCAGCAGCTGGACGCCGAAGGAGAGTGGGTCCCAGATGTACCTCGGTTCCCAAGGATCTGCTGGACCATCGCTCCGCTAGAACCAGAAATATTAGGCAGAAGTTGGGGAAATGTGCTCTCTGGGGGGATTGGAAACTGGGATTGGAAACTGGGACTGGGAACATTCCTGACTTTTGACAATAAAATCGATATCAACTAGTAAACCATTTCCATGATCTAAAGAAGCTAATACTACAACTAGCAACATGGAGCAACAGGAATTTCGTCCTGGTACGTTGTGCGATTATTGCCCCAAACTATACCTCTGGTGGTGCTGACAGCCAGATTCCCGAGTCTTGGTGAGGAGCAGCTGGCGGGCGTGTCAACAGTGGCTGTGTCAGCTGTCATGGGCTCTCCCCGGATCTGCATCAATCTGTCAAGCCAGAACCACGATTCTTGTTCCTCCCCGTCGAAAGCTGGTGTTCACAACTTGTACTTTGTATGGACCGATGTTCCACAGTAAACTCGATCATTGGCCAATTGTTGTGCTTGTACAGATACGGTTGGCAGGGATAGCCTGATGCATTTTGTATCTTATCTTTGAACCCAGCCACAGCCACTGCGATGCAATTCGTATGCGACCGACCGACCAGTCGACCTCGACGCCCGCACACCGAGGCTCTCCAACCCGGTCCGACCAGTCAATTGATCCGACTTCCAGTCGACTTGTCCTTCCGGAGTAGATACTAATTAATACTCCATATTCTCTTCTCTGTGGCGACTGGCGACGTGCCCTCCTCATGTCCTAGTCACAGTCAAACCCCTTTTCTCCTTCCCTTGGTCTCTGACGCCCGTTATCATCAATTCTCCCCAAAACCACTAACGACTCTTGTCGCCCGATTCAAAACAATAAAACGGCTCAATCTCCAACCGCCCCGCCTTTGCGGGCGCACAAGCGCCAAAGCCAACGCCAAAACGCCCGCCGCATTTCGCAGACCAGCGCCGATTCGCCCGCTGGAAAGCTAAAAACCCCATTATGGGTGCGGAGCGTGGCGACAAGGACTTCCCGACCAAGACCCGAGTTGTCTAGATAAGCTCCTCGTGCTCTCTGCACTCCTTGCGCTCTCGCTTCCCCCCTTCATGCAAGCCCCCTAAATCCTTCCGAGCCTGCACCACACGATTCCTTATCAGTGACGTATATTTTTATTATTCCTCCTACCGCAAGGTCGAAGCTCTCCAACCAGAACCCCAGTTTCCGGCTCTACAGCATGACAGTTGGAGCGGCGCAGCAATAACCCTCCTCCCTCCCCCCCTTCTTCCCCAAAGAAGCCAACGGTCTAGCTCTCATCCATTCAAACTTGTAGCTGGAAGCAACATTCCAATCGAAGCCTTTCCGCCCTTCTTTCCGGGTTAGTCGCTAGGTTAGTAGACTAGCCAAGACCAGCCAGGATATATGCCGCCTGCGAGATAACAACGTCCCGAGTTGGCGGGGTCTTGGAATGCAGTTCTGTCGGAGGGAGTACATATGGGATGCCACCACATGGGGAGACTGACGCCTTTATCTTTTTTTCTTCTTTTTAATAAATTCTGGGGTCGTTGGTGACGGGCGATCCTATCCTAATTCGACTCCTGAACCATTTTGCTGGGATTGGAGTTGTGATTGAAAAAGGAGGACCTCGACTCTCCTCCTCACAACTCAAGGGTTTCAAAAACCCCCCGCATCGAAACTCAAAAGCAGACGCAGCTGCTGATAGCAAGAGAAACAAGAGTCATCGACAACTTCTAATCTCACCAGCTCCCAATCTTCTCTATCTCTCTCTCTCTCTCTCGGTCTCTTTCTCTTCCTCCCCCATCTATATACATGAACACACACCCAACATGTCTGGCCGAAGCGCACACGTACGCAAAAAGAAATCCGACACAAAATCCTCCTCCTCCAGCCGCCGTCCCAGTACAGCCACCACCGGCTCCCTACACGAGACCAGCAGCACCGACTCGACCGTCCCCGGCTACGACCGGGGCCTAGCGAGTCCCATCCCTGTCGGCACGGGCATCGGCACTACGAACGCCAGGTTTCTCAGGTTCGCCGATTCGTCGGTAGACGTTAGCTACGATGGGTCAGGATCGTCCTGTTCGCCTGGGTATGTGGGTGGAGGTGGTGGCAGCGACTATTACTCCTCTCGGAGGGCGACGCAAATGACGATGAGTAGTGATGGACAATACAGCGCTGGAGGAGGGGGGGACTGGTATGGTAAGGCACTCCGGACCGAGGGTGTCTCGGGGATCGAAAAGTCAGGCTTGAGGTCTGTGATTGATAGGAAGAGTGACGGTGTGAGGAAGGGAATCGCCAAGACGTTTTCTCTGGGGAAGAAACACAAGGAGGAGAAGGGAAAGGCGCCCGAGAAGGATCACCGCAGAGGGTCGGGTAGCAGCAGTCAAAGTCAACAAGAGACATTTTACATCGAGCACGACGACTACGAAGATGGAGGGGAGGATCCTGGTCCCTATCGCAGTGGTGGTGGGATGGCAGACCAGTCGGTATACGGATCGCCTCGTTCGCAACATGGGCCGACGCCGCATCCGTATCCTCCGCCGCCGCATCACACGCAACCGAGACAGTTTGCTGGCGATGGATGGGATGCTATCACACCCATCACGCCGCCGGGAATACCTTTTCCGTCACTGCCGCCGTCGAGAGAGCTACCGCCTCTACCTCCACATGCGAGACCGCAGCAGCGATAGGATTTCCGAGAATGAATGGTGGCGAGGGCTTGCGGGCCTCTTCGATATTCCCCTTGTGTTGGATAGCTCATGTCAGAATATTTAGTGTGGCACTCACGACGAGATATGGTATTTTAGTAATGTACGCTTAATGATACGAAAACATCAAAGAGAGGTGCCCATCTCTACAACTTTGAAGTTTACTCGCTGTCGATGTTGAGAGGTTGCCCTTATCATCAATTGATCATTGGCAGTTATTGGCCTAGCTAACTCGAATTAGTTCACCGAGTTCAGGTTCTCCCCCATGGAGGGGGTGACCGTGAACATATGATGGTGAATGAGGTGGCTACTCGATTCTAGAAGAAAGCATCAATCGAAAGATGACATGGACAAAGAACGATGCGGTTCTGGAGGCCGGCAGTACGGAGTAGGGCAGCCGGATATACGAGACAGCACGCCACGGCATACTTAGTATCCGGTGTAAGAGTAGTCTAGGTGTCAGAGCATCAGGGTGATATTAAATCTACGATTGTAAGTTGAGTCTAACATCAAATCCGGATCTTCGGTTTCCGGGCACCCCATAATGGCGGAAGAATACTGCGGAAACACGGTTGTTTGCTCTATTCCGCCACCAAGAGTCGAGTCCAGTCGTCGGATCCGATGGGGCCGAAGGTCGGCGCCGCGTGTCACCGGAGCTACCAGAAACTGGAAAGAGGCGCCAGAGGATGCTCGAGGAGGGCCTGCGATATACTTGATGCGCAGCCATCCGATGAGCTGGAGCCAGAGTGCTTCCGAAGCTCCAACAACTGGCCGGAAATACCGCCGTTTACTTCGTAGAGCGCCACCGGAAATGGCCTGGCCAGCCTAGAAGACCTTCGCGTTCTGGATCTACACACAACCTCGTGGACCGAGTCGGTCGCCGACTTCTAGCGAAGAGCGGAGGTGGAAGTGGAGGGCAGAATTTACAAGACGAATCCAATACCAATGACAGCCTGGACTCTCGCAGAGCAGGAGATAATTGAGAGTGCCAACCACGTCAAACGGTCATGTAGAATTCAAGCCACTTATTGCAAGTGATCTTGCGTGCGCAATGGGTTGGGGTTTTCACAGACCGAGTAGTGAAAGTTCTGCGACAATACCCCATGGGAGGATTCTGGGAAAGAAGAGGGGGGAGGTGGTTAAGCTGTAGTGTTTCCGGGGACGTGATAGTGGATTCACAGAAAAAGCAACGAAACAGGCTCAATGTAACAGCGGAAACAGTTTGACGATGGGTTTGACGATGGGCTTGGTGATGGGCTTGGTGATGGGTCTATGATCAAGATGACGATGGATTCACGGTGCCGAAAAAATACCACAAGGTGTCGAATTTGTTAAAATATCTTGACGCGGTCCCTCGAAAATACCTGTTAACATGAACGTTGTTCATTCTCGGAAAGGCATTCCCTATGTGGAGAGACGGTGCCCTATTCGGTGCAATGTTTAATCCACTTAAGGTCAGCCGCCAACAGGCCAGCCGGGCCGCCAACAGAAAATGATTGAGGGATCGGAGGGAAGGGGCCACCCACCATGGTCTTGGATCATGGCCCGTGGGTAGTGAGTTCCAAACTCCAGAGGATTGAAGTTGACGATGCTGAATATTTAGGGCCGGCCAGGTAATATCTGACCCTCCAACACTCTCCTCTCTTGGGCGATGATGCGCAATCAGTGAATCTCCATAATGTAGATTACGGCGATCAACATGGAGAGAGAATTATTCTCCTGTTTCCTTTCAAACAGGATGGTCTGCTTGCAGGGCAACATACGAATAATGGGGAGGTTGGGCATGCCACCCTGCAAATCCACCCCGTAAATCCACCCACCGGGAAGCCCGGGTGATTTGTGCTGTGATCTCAGCACATCTGGAGATCTTGTTTCGAAACATGTTCGTCAGGTAGGACGACAGTTTTCGTCGGCACGCATTCGCTCGATTGAGGACGCACGCAACGTGCAACATGCAGCATGGATACAGATTAATGCCTGTGCATCATCACCATTCAGCTGCCAGGTCCCATCACCATCGCCCATCGTCAGTTGGAACATTCGAAGAAATATGCCAAGCTTCATGATGCCTTTTTGACAGGGATCCATCCCCAACCTCCTCATCCCACCCAAGAATTCCACAGAAACCCCGGTTTCCCAGTTCCCCCACCCCTGCTCTTCCCTGCTCCCCGTGCCGCAACAATCCCGTCGTATGGCCCCGTTTTCCCAGCCTCATTACATCAGACCTTCGGGATTTGTTTTGCTCTTTCGCCTCAATCAAGTTCCTCTTCGTCTCCCTCCCCACCCCCATCTTCCCACACCTCCTCTCCCCCAATCTTTTCCCTTCCTCTTTGTCGCAAAATCGTACGTTGTCTTTGGCGAGCTTAAGCGCATGCGGATATCTTGTAATATCGCATAGCCAGACATATCGAACAGAACTCGTTATTTGGCGGCTGGTCTCAAACCTTCATCGGTCCTCCGGATCAGCGCATCTCGACTCTTTTCCCTCCGACAGAGAGAAAGCCCATAACTCCCCGCGCAACTCTCAACTTTTTGCAACAACGGGCTCGCCCAAAGACTTGAGGCGAACTCGCCAATCTTCGCAGCCATGTTTTTCGCACTCTTCTTTGTGCTCTGGCGCATATGCCAGATTACCACCTTGGTAAGCTTCCCACGCAGCGCTTCCTCAAGCTCTCAAAGCTCTCTCACCCTCACCCCGCACTACTGCACGGCGCAGAGAGAAAAGAAATGGCGCCAAGCTCACTCCCGCCCTCCACGCCAAAGAGCCATCCCGCCCAGAACAAATTACATCCAAACCTTGATGAAGAAAAATGAGAAAAAAATAATAATCGCTAACTGTTCAATTCCCCAGATCCCCACAGTAGGCATGCTCGCCTGGTTCGTCGACAGCTTCCAAAACGAAAACGTCCTCACCCCCAACTACATCCTCATCCTCTTCGTCGTCTCCGTGCTCGCCCTCGCCTGGACCATCTTCACCGTCTTCTCCTACCACCGCTCCTCCGCCAACGCCACCTTCGTCGCCTTCGTCGACATCGGCTTCTTCGGCGCCTTCATCGCCGCCGTCTACTTCCTCCGGCACGTCACTCGCGTCGACTGCACCCGCGTCACCCGCGACGGCGACTGGCGCTTCTTCTTCGGGAACCTTGTCGCCGCCTCCATTAGCGTCGAGATTTCGAAACCTTGCTCGATGCTCAAGGCTTGCTTCGCTTTCGGCATCATGAATGTTATCATGTTCTTTAGCACGTCGATTTTGGCGTGGATGCATGGTGATAGGGCGTATGAGAAGAGGGAGAGGAGTCACTCGCATTCGAGGAGGCATTCCCATAGGAGTGGAAGTCGGCATTCGCATCGAAGTAGGAGCTCGCATTCTAGGCATAGGGTTTATGTCTAGTGGGAATGTGAGAGAGAGAAGGAGGGGTGAAGAGAAGGGCGGAAGCTGGTGCGTGTGAGAGATGCCTTTCCTCTCTAGGTGGGCTTGCTTGAGATTCATTTTGACTCAGGCATGCTGGAGGAACATGCATGCAGAAGGTGGTATGTCGGGTTTAGGCTCAACAACGCGCCTGGGAGTGTGAAGTGCTGAAAAGGATAGTGATGGGATAGCGGATGGGTTAGTATATAGGACTGGAAAACTAGGAACTTAGGGACTACGGAACTCCCAATGTCACGACGAGATGTCAGAAAGAGGTTAGGCTTGATATTCTTCGGAGCGGAAAGGGCGGATTGGGGGTTGGAATGGCGCACTATGGTTGATTTTCTTCCCATTTCTTTTTCTTTTTCTTTTTTTTTTTTTTTTCCTTTCCCCTTTTCCTTTTCTTTTGTATCTGTTTCTCTCTCGTCGATCCCGTAGCTCCTTCCTTTTTGCTACTCTCGACCTCATGCAGGCCGACGTTTCCATCTCCCAGTTTATCAGATGATGTTATATAGGGTATGATTACATATTGAGTTTTCTCCAAGCCGATTCCGAGGCTACCATGGTCTTATCTCGATAAAACGCTAAATTTCCATTCTCACTTCCGAGGGTGTGCCCAAAGCTATTCGTCGGAAGAATCTAAGCGGGCTCGTCACCTGCGATCCGCCTCCTCACCAACAGCATAACCTCTCGCGACACCTCTCCTACCCTCTTCAACGACCGTGCTCTCCTCCTCATCGAAATCGCCGCCCAAGCCCTGCCACGTTCGCCGCGACTGGAGGAATTCCGCGCCGGTGCTCACGATGCCGTTGATGGTAGCCAGTTCGCCCGCCGTCTCTCTCTTCACGAGGGCCACGTCGGCTGCGATCGATGAGGTCGGCCGCGACGATCCGTTGACGGCTGTGGGTCTGCTCGGCGATAACGGCGTCCTCGCGGCCGCGGCGCGCATAGGACGGCTATGACTGATGAGTTTGCCCGTCCGAAGATCAAATTCCGGCGGTGCAGATTCTTCTCCCTCGACGCCTCCATCCATATCGTAGACCACCTCCTCTTCCTCATTGATTCCCCCCTCAGCAACAATACCCTTCTCCTTTTCCCCATCATCATCATCAATCTTCAACCCCTCAATACCACCCCACCACTCCCCGCCCCAAACCCTCTCCTCCTCCCTCATCAACGCAACCTCCAACTCAAAAGGAGTAACCACTGGCATGAAATACGCCCCATCATCCTCCACCAGCCCGCTCTCCCAGCACCCGACGACGACCCAACCCTCCACCTCGGCGAAATTCGCCAGCTTTGCCGGGTTCAACTTGCCCACGACGACGGTGTAGCTCTTCTTACCCGCGGCGGCGATGCGCGCGCGCAGGGCGTCGACGGAGGAGAGGTAGTTCGCAACGCTGAGGGTGTTGACGAGGATGCCTATCGTGCCGGCGCTGGCGAGGGAGAGCACGCGCGCGAAGCGGCGGCGGAGGAGAGCTGTGGTGTTTGTCGGGGTTTCGGCCGTGGGGGAGGTCGCGTGGATGTGGAGGTTTGAGAGGCGGGAGTGGAGGGCGAGGAGGAGGGAGGTGGGTGGTGTGGAGATGTGGAAGGCTGAGTAGGATTGTAGGTCGGCTGTTGAGAGGTTCGAGGAGGTGGTGGTGGTCGTTATAGTTGTAGTTGTAGTAGAAGGGGCGACGAGGGCGCGGTTGGGGATGGGGTTGGAAGGGGAGTGGATTACGGCTGTGGAGAGGAGGTTCGTGTAGCCGCGCGAGCGGAGGGCGGACGCTATAGGCTCGACGTGGTCCTGGTATGTAACGTCGGCGATGACGACGACCTTTTCCTCCTTGTCAGGATATGTAGATTCGAAGTCGCGGATGACCGCATCGTGGTCGAGAGGATATCGCGTAAAGACATAAATGACAGGTAACCTCGCCGTAGGCGACAAACACGACCGGCCATAATGAACCACAACCTGCGCATTCGCATGCTCGGCAGCGATCTCGTCGACGCAGCACGCACTATACGACGTATCGGCGAGCACGTAAAGTCTCGTCTGCCGCTGCTTCCTCCTCCTCGTCTCGCTCGTCGCAGGATCTCCTTCTTCGTCGATTTTGAGTGCGGCGTTCAGCGCGCCCACGACCCAGGCGACGTCGCCAAGCATCGAGTCCGGGAATTGCAGAGCGACCCTCTCCCAGCCGCCGGCGCGGATCTCGCGCGCCGTGCGCTCGATCTCGTAGATGCTGCGGAGCTCATCGTCGGGGCGGCGCGGGGTCGGGTCTTGTTTAGGGACAGCGGGGGAGAATTCGATGAGGTTTTCGGCTGGGGTGGAGAGGACTGGGGCGGCGGCGAGGTCGGACATGTTGGGAGGACGGGAGTGTGTGGGTGTGGGTGTGGGAGAGGAGAGTTGAAGCTGGGCAGGTTTTTTTGGTGGGGTCGAGATTGGCTTTGGAAGATTTTTGGCGGGGTAATTTTGGGTTCGGCCTATCTAGGCGGAGGTACAACATTGGATACGACGTCTACATACATTTCACAAGTACTCCATTCTCAAACCGTTATACACTTCTTGCAAACGCAAGAGGAATGTCTCCGCTGAATTCGTCAATCGATGTTTGTTACCACCCGTAAGGACTTGGCAGATGTCTCGGTGCGACCAATAGTCTAAAGCAGTTCCGTTCCCACTAGAAGACTTCTGAGCTGAAGAGATGCGGGGTACCTTCGTATTAAGCTGGAGAACTGATGCCCGATCTCGATTAACTTTAATCTCTCATCTTAGCTCTTCTCCGAAGTCACCTCTCTTCGATATTGTTGCTTGAAAGTACCCCCTTACGTTACTACGTTTAATTCACATTGAGTTTTGATCCAGTGACAATGTCTTCCCGCGGCGTACCAGAAGTCTTGATGAAAAAGATCGACGAGTACGTCGACTCACTCGCGCCCCAAATCCAACCCCGCATGGAATCCGAGCTCGAGACTTTCCAACAAAAGACCATCGACAGCCTAGAGGCCCAAGTGATCGACGCTTTCCGCTCCCTTTTCAACACCAACCGCTCGGGAAACTCTTCGGAATCCTCAAGAAGCCTCAACGACGCTGCTCCAGATGCCTACGGCGGACAGTCTCTACCATTCGCGGACGAGATCGCCAAGCTCACGCGCAATTTCGGCCAGATAGCCGATGAAGCGAGCAGTGACTTGCGAGATATTTTCGATCTCACGGAGGATAAAGGAACTCGTGGTGGTCCGGACGAGACCCAGCCCCGGTCCCGTGGCGGCGATCAGTCCGACTTCTCCCGGGGCGCTAAGGGATTCCTATCCGCAGCCATCAATGTCGTTCAAGACCATCTGGAAAACAACAACCAGAGACCGGGAGGTGGTGGTCAAAGACTCGAGCTCGACGGAATCCTTGGTGCTATTAGCAACACCGTGAAAGACGTCTCTCGCAACCCGGAGGAGACGGCGCGCCTCATCAGCCCTGAGATTAAGGAGAAAGTCGGAGCCAAGCTGCGAGAGCAGCACGCCCCCATCGCGGAGCAATTTACGCGCATTGCACTGGACCACATCAAGCGCTGGCTGCGGGGCAACACGAGCAGTCGGGACATTGGGGACGGCGTCAAGGGTGAGATTGAAGACCAGGTCAAAGACCTCGTAAAGGGCCTTGGAGGCCTATTCGGCCATAAGAAGCAATCTGGCGAGGGACAGTCGAGAGGGATCAACGATCAGGATCGCGACCGTGACAATAGCGGTGAAGGGGAAGGCAGTGGTGGCTTCTCTAAAATCATAAGCGACAAGCTGAGCACCGGTCTTGCCAAAGTCCACAGGGAGGTGCGTCTGGAATTCCGTAAAGTGCTAGGCGGTATCGAGAAGCAGCTCTTCGAGTTACTACCCGACGAATTTCAACGCCCACTTGAAAAGATTCTCGGCGGCAACCCCTTCGACTCGCAGCTCGACTACAACGCGGGGTCCGGTTCGCGGACGCAGGATCGCGGCTTCGGGGATGATATCAAGGCCAAGCTCGTCAACAAAATCCGGGACCTCGTGCGAAAGGTCCAGGAGACGCTGCGCGAGAGTATTTTGGGTGTCGTGAATGGCGGGCACCGGAAGTTCGAGCGCGAAAGCTGGGTTTTCGTGCAGACTACTGTGGAGCAGAAGGTGCAGAGGTATCTGCCGAAGGTGAAGATCTCTGTCCCAGATGATATTGGCAACGAGGGCGTAAGCGTGGGAGCACCTACATCCGGTGGTCAACTCGGTGGTGCTGGCGGAAGCCAGCATTTTACCCCTCAACAGCAGGTCTCCCACTCCCCTTCTCCCAGCTATCAGCAACAGGGTTCCCACGTCCCTCCTCCTAGCCATCAACAACAGGGAGGCTACGCTCCTCCTTCTAGCTATCAGCAGCAGGGTAGACAGGAATACCCTCATCAAGATCACTATTCTCCCCCGCAAGGAGAGTATACTTCTCAGCACTCTCACAGGCCAGATAATCAACAATACGATCGTCCTCCCCAGCACCAATCCCACCAAGGCTATCGACCCGAGAATCGTCAGGAGCACCAATCCTATCAAGGATATCAGCCGCCTGAACAGCACAATCAGCAATACCAGACCAACCAGCCACAGAGGTACCAACAGAATCAGGACTACCAACAGAATGAGGGTTACCAACGGAATCAAGGCTACCAACAGAATCAGGACTACCAGCAGAGCGACCGCTATAATCAGAATCCGCGGTATTAACTATGACACTTCGGCGGATCCGCCGCGTCGTAGACAGTGCAGGGTATCGGAGGGAAAGGGGCGATGAACCTTGACGGCCGCTAACCTTTTGACTTGGCCGCAGGCGAAGAGAAAAAAAATCATGTTTTCCGGGGCCGACTAGAATTGACTTTTTTACTTGGCTGTTTGGGGGGGGGGGGGCGGGGAAATGGAATAAATGTAGTTTATAAATCGTCGATTGATGCTTGAGACGAAATTTATCATTGTAGCCACGAAGGTTGAAAAGATTTATGTACTTAGGATGGAATTCCCGATCGTGATGTAGGTAGAACTGGAGCTTCAAGTCTAAATTTCCAAGTGGCCTTGGCCTGTGCTTTCCCCTCACCGCCGAGTGATTCTGGGTGCGACTTAACACAGCGCCATGCGGCATTCCCGGGCTCTCATGCCCCTCCGGAGGTGCTTCCGGTGGGTTCGGCCCCACTCTCCGGGCCCGGGTCATCCAATGTCCCCATTCATTGCTCGAGGCAGGTAGGTCTGGCTTCTCCGCGAGTTCCGGAAACATGGGAAGGAGGCCGACGGGGCCACTAGCAAAGATTCGCGAATGTCAGTCGAGCGTTGTAATTGGAAGAGGGTATCATCGCGGAAGATCCTATGGAAGGGCCCGGACGGTAGCGCGGTGGAAAGGAATTCATAGCCGCTCCAATTGTAATAGCTAATCAAACTTTTGTCAATTGGCAACTAGCTTGGGTGGACTTGAACCCGTTTCCGAAATCTCCAGGGACTGGTGGAGCATAACACTTGGGGTGAGCTTCGGCCCCGATCCGATGACTTGAGAGGAGCTCGCGGAGAGCTCTAGTTGGAATTTCCCCAACGAACGTGGAAAGGAGTGATTAAAGGCTCTGAGTGTTTGGTAGGAACAAAATGTACTTTTATTGCATCAACCAGCTTCAAGGTACTCTCACAATCGTGAAAACCAAAACGACAGCCAGAAGGGACTCAAAAGGAGTGTAGCACTAACAGCAGGTCTCAAAAGTCTGGCTCATCGGCGTATTGGGTTGGACGGCCTTCATGACATGCGGCAGCTAGAGGAAGCGCCGGTGAGGATGCGTGCGCCGCAATATCCGTCTGGATGCGGATCCTTGAGCCTCGTACCCTTCGGAACCGCAAATCCAGGCCAGCCGGGTCCGCACTTCCCCCTATTCCTGACGGTCATGCAATAAGGGCATCTTTGTAACTCACTGAAAAGACCCGTGTTCCTCTTTCGATGTGTCGGCTCTTGGATTGTCCGATGAGGACTCAAGGCAGGTTGCCGAGAGAGAAAGAAGAACAAAAAAAAAAAGAAAAGAAAACCGAAAAAAAGGGAGGGGGAAGGAAAGGAAAAGGAAAACGAGAAGGAAATAGAAATGAAAGAAACCCCTAGGAAAGGAGAAAAGAAAATGGGGCCGCGACCGTCTCGTTCCAACCAGGATCACTCCCAGAGTCCCTTTGACAGGAAACTTCACTCGAGTCTTCGATACTCAACCACCTCACCTGCCCGACACCTTTTGTCCTTTTCAAATTCTCAATTCGTTCAACAGTCTTCTTCCCTCTTGCAGCCCTTCTCCAACATGAGACTCACTGTCCTCCCGTCTATCCCGTCTGTCCAGACAATCCCGCTCCGAGCGGGCCTCCCAGAACTCAAAAAACTGGAGACCATCTCGGACCTCAACTAACATCTCAATCGCAAAGGGGAAATATAAAAAGGAGCAAGACACTTCAACTTCCACACCAACAGAAACCCCCGTTCCAAATCAACGACATTCCCTTGGTCTTCAAATGAGACCACTTTTTGGTAGGTAACAGCCGAATCCTCCCACGCTCGATGGACGAGTCAGCTTCAACACGGACAAATTTACCCCAAGGTAGGATATCCTTTCGACCGGAGCCAACTACCCATGCTCCCTCACGTCCCCAAAAACCAAGAGAAAATCCCTCTTTCATAATTCTTTTTCCTTATTTCCAATTAACACCTCCCAAATACTCCGCGAAAATAATCCTCCTGTTTTCTGGAAGGGACCGGGGAAAAAAAAAACTGAAAAATCAACACTTATTCGACGCCTTGTTCCCTGAGGCTCGGCGCCCAGTCCACGATGCCTCGCCAAGCACGTACCCGCCGCCAAGACTTCGATCGAGAACCCTCAAATGGCATCGCCAAGCCGAATACTGGAATTCCCGATGAAGAGTTGCCCTTTTGCCCTCTGCCAAGGCGCGGGAGTTGCAATCGCATCTCGGCTCGGGACGTAATGCGACCAAAGGAAGAAAACGGGCTTCCATGGGAATGAACGACGTGCTTGGCGGTCCATCGGATCGGACGCGGCCGGGGAAAACATCAATTGGTAACAACATGAACCTAGTTTCTTGGGGGCCGCCCGGGCCAAGGTCAACAGGTCCTAGCTGGTAAGTAAAGGTAAACGTATTCATAATGACAGGTTCAACAGAGCAGAGCTCAGGGAAGAACAAGCGGAGGAGGAAGATACGCATTCATCATTAAATTATCCGACAAACAAGACGTTCTCGATACCCTCCTCCGTTGTCCGCATCCTCGAATCCCTCGAATGGCCCATCTCCCTTTTTAGCCAACCTGGTATCTCTCTGATTTGCCTCCACAAATCAACCCAAACTATTCGGGGGTTTGACGCAACGGCCATATAAAAAAGGAGGTATATATACCCAAACAATGTTTTGAAGAAACATATCCAATAAAAAAATAAGTACGATAAAAGAAAAAAAAGATAAAATGGAACTCGACGCGGATACGGGGCTTGCTGGGTTACTCTTTCGAAAACAGTCTTCCAACATCAGCGAATCGCATCAACATATTCTCATCTTAGACGGTGTGGGCAGCAGCCTTAGCAGCGCGATCAGCCTTGGCCTTGTCAGACCAGGGAAGAGGGAAGACGGGGACCTGGAAGAAGGAGTTGCTATTTCTGGACGTCAGCATATGCTATAAAGAGAAGGGTCCTGGACTCTGCTACTAACCTAGAATCCTGGATACCAGCAAGAGCGTTGTACCACGCCAAGAAGGCAGCCAGCATACCAAACACACCACCGGCGATCTGAAGACCGTCCTTAGCAGCCATGGCACCGTTATTGGCGGCGTAGTTCTCGCAGGCGAGGAAGAGGAAGGCAAGGTCGAGCGTGAAGAAGAGGAGGAAGAACATGACCGTCGACTTGAGCGTGCAGAGGAGAAGGAGCGTGTTGAAGATGAACCAGCCGGTCAGGAAGAAGCCAACGACGGAGCTGACGTCGGAGGGGTTGGCAGAGTAAGGGCCGGTCTTGGTGTCGAGGATGTTGAAGCCGGGGGAGAGGAGAAGACCGTAGGAAATCCAGAAGCCGCCGTAGGAGGAGAGGGCGGTGGCACCAAAGGTGTTACCAACGGCCATTTCCCTAATCGAATTTGTTAGGACATGGCTTCCCCGTATACGAGAGAATGGCAACGACTCTTGTTCCAGGTCATCGAAAAGGTCGGGATGTAGAAACAGCCTGGGCCATTCCGCACCTTGCCCTCCGAAACCAATGGCCAATCGAACGGCGAATCCGAGGGTTTCTTTTTTTATATTCAACTTACCACATACCAGCCAGAAGCTGGACAAGACCACCATAACCGAAAGCGAGGGGCACAGCAATGTTGGGAGTCTTAACACCACGAGCATGCATGTTGACGGCAGAGAGGACAAAAGTGGTGAGGGCGAAAGCGCTGAGACCCAGAGGAGCGGGATTGGCAAACTTTCGGTGCTCGAACGGCCTGATCTGACCGGGGTGGATCATCAAGCCCTCGGGGGCGGAGTAGTCCTGGTGCCTGAAGGAGGCATTTTGGCCGTTGGTGCTATTGCTGGAGGCCAGCTGCTCCTTCTCGATGGGGATCGCGACGTGCTCAGCCATTGTGTGCGTTGGGGATCGGTACGCGGGACGCTACGAATGCGAGGTTGGAAAGAAGAAAAGAAGCAGAACTACCAGAGTCGACCACGAGGAAGGAGAGAGATCTGAGCCGGAGTGTGGGGTGTGGAGATGAGGAAACCTGGAGAAAGGAAGGAGTGGTTCCTCTGCTAGGGTATTATATGTCGGGCTGGAAGAACTAGGAAGAGCTATGGGAGACAAATATGTTTGGACGGAGAGGAGGTATCGACACTCTATTACCAACACCAGGCGGCTCGGAAGATGGGAGAGGGGTGCGTTGACTGTTGAGTGGACTGGCTCAAAAAAAAATTAGGTTTTATTATCCTCCAGGGGAAAGAGACGGGGTTATATATCAACGAAGGAAGCGAGGTAGGGAAGGGGGAGGGGGAGCAGAGAGAAGCTGGGGCGTGTGCCAACACTAACAGAACGAGAAGGCAAAAAACGATTCTTTCCCCCGGACCCCGACCACGAACTAGCGAACTAGGGTTAAGAGCAGGTTGCATTCTTTCGTCCAGGTCCGGGGAAAGGGGAGTTTGATGCGGAGTCGAAAGTATCCTTCTTGCTTGTAAGCTTAATGCGAGAAAAGGAGGGGAGAGGCAAGGAAAGTCAATCAAACGGAAGAATGGGGGAAAATGGGGAAATGGGCTCCGCATGTTCCGCTGGTGGGGCGGATAGAGGGCGTCCAAAGTCCAGACAAGAGACAACGAGGAGGATCGAGATGACGGGATGATTAGAGAGCAGAGGCGTGTGTACGAAGTACGAAGTACTCGGCGACCATGGGCAATGTACGGATAACGGTAGGGATTAAAGCTGGACCCGTTGGGAAGGGAGTGGACAAGTGGTACCGTTAGTACACCGCACTAGATGGGATGCCAGACAAGGAAGTGAGCGGCAGAAGGGTCTGGCAGAGAGTCCCTCCGTGATGGTACCGGCTGGTCTCGTATACATGGTGGCACTAATGTGCCATGTGGAGGCAAAGGATCTGGTACGGGAGTAGTGCACAAAATGGAAATGGATTGATGAATTGGTGTCGGTCTCCCATTGACTACGAAATGTTGGTTTTTGGTGTTGCCTCTCTCTCGCAGTGAGTTTACCACTCGAGAGGCGGAAATGGAAATGGGAATGGAATCGGGAAGATCCATCTGAATGACATGACCAGCCCCGGGGACTGGCTTTGCCATCCCACAATCCCACAACGGGGAACCAGAGAGTGGAACAGTCCCTATGATTGCAATGGATCGCCGTGTGATTTGCCCAGGCGGCGGAAGTGGCCTCATCACCTGGGAGCTAGCGCGAGCAGAGTTTGTTAGTAGCGGCGGAGAGAGCGTGTGCGAGAGAGAGAGTGTGTGTGTGGACACTGGACAGGATAAATGGAGTTGAGGCGAATCTGCAAATCCGCAATGGTGTGTGTGGGTGTGGCTGTGTGGGCGCGAGTTACCCGATGTGGTTCTACAGTGCCTGGCGACTGGTAGTTTAGCTCTGGCTCTGCGTGCCGTATCAATCAATTGATCGATGTGTGCGCCGGGAGTTATAGAGTCAGAGAACACATATTGCCTCAACGCTGCGAGTCTTCGAGTCTTCGAGCCTTCGACCACTCGGGGCGCACGACCGGAAGCCCCGTTGAAGTAGCGAGCAACTTTAGCATTTAGACTTTCATTTCTTTCCCTTTTCCGTTTCTGCCACTCGCCTCTTTACCAAATGTGTCGGTACCTGCGTGGTCATAGGCTGGGGGCTATTATTGATTGACTTATCTCTGTCAGATCAATTCAATGTTCATTTTCTGATGCGCTTGCCGAGTCACGAAACTTCCATCTCGCCGTCCGAGCCCTGGATGTACCGGCCGCTTTCCCATCCCACGCTCCCGTCTCTTCCTCATTCACCCCCTTAGAGCGTGTGTACCTCCGCGCGTTTGCTCGGAATTATTTTCTCAGTTGAGGTGGGTGGGTGGTGTTCCCAAAAAGCCAAGACCCAAGCCACGACAACTCCCGGCTGAGACCGATGCCATGCCATGTGGGAAAGAGCCTCAACAAGGACCAAGGGAAACCCTGGCTTCGAATTGCTCGGCGCCTCGGTATTTTTGCATTGTGCTAGACCGATTAGGTCAAGGCTTGCTGCAATGTCAGGAAAAGTTGGGAGCTAGGGAACGCAGCGCATCAATCCAATTGATCCCACGACGATTCACTGCCGACGTTCATTCCATTTCTGAAGGCCAGGAGTTTTCTGCCTGTTGCAGTGACGATCGAGCAGAACACGATGGCAAGTTGAGAAAAGGTGGGAAATGTTCGCCTTGGGTAAATTGGGACCAATTGGCGAACAATGGCCAATACTCCGTGCAATTGAGGACCACTTGAGATGCCCCGCTCAACGGAGCGCGTGGACTGAGAATAATTGAAGAGAGTGGATCTGTGGATACTGCACAGCCAGTTGCAGCCAGGCTTGCGACTTGGAAGATAAAGGAGGATTGATGGATACCAGGTCTGGTCATGAGAAATCGGCGACGTGGGGGGACACGACGGTGACTCTGTCTCAAGTCAGGTGTACACGCACTCTCTCTGTTCTTTCGCTGGCCACGAGGTTCTTTGCCACTTATCAGAAGACAGAGGAGGGTGTCACGATCGATGGGAACTCTGTACCTTTGGAGTACCCCCAACTATTTTTTTCTTCGTGGTGGTGGCGAACGGCGGCGATCCATCATCCTTTCTTCGGAGGAAACATCCACATTGAACTGGCTCCCTTTTTCGTTTTGTCAGATTTATGACCACGAGTCAAGCCAAAGTACGCTACAATATTGTACTATCTCGGATCAGTCGCATTAATAATATGCGATACTCATTAACAAACTTGGCAAAAAAATCGTCGTCAATGATGTATCCTTAGATGGAGTGAGTGGACATTTTATGCCCCTCTTATAAATGGAGATACTGAGCACACCTCATGCAAAGCATTAAAATAATACAAGGGATGGGAATTGTTTCACCACCCTTCTCGAATTGAAGGCCTACATGCGAACAATATTACATATTTCCCCGGGCATTCGCCTTATTGAAGCCGATTCAATGCTGTCCTATCTCAAGAGCATTTTAAAGATGTCGTTGACACAGACATCTTTTCTACACTCACCTTGAATTTCTCCAAATTCATCACGTCATGAGGGGAACTGAGGGGGAGGAGAATTGGGGTAATGCCCAGTAAGGCCAGCAAGGTCCAGGCGTGGCAAACACCTTCACTGCACTCCGGCAGTCCTGGATCAGGCAATTCTCAATGCGAATGCATAACAGAAAGGTCGCCGCTCTGTATATAATTTTAAAAAATGATTTGCATAATCTCTTTCCACCGACGACGACTCTCGTTTTTCGCGGTTTCCGAAAGAAAACTCTGCGGACAATCGATTGATCGCAACAAACCCGATCGTTCCCCCGAGCGCGACCGACGCTCTGAGGGGAAGTGACTGCGCTAGTTTTGCAGCTTGCAGCCCTAGTCAGATCCCCCCTGTGCTGTTGACTGCTGCAGGCCTGCAAAGCAGACACTTCGGGTGCCGAGTCGCACCGGTACGCAACTGCCAAGCCCGATGCGATACGCCTTCGATGGCGAGATCCAGGCTGTTTCTGTTCTCTGTACCTGAAAAGGGACCCCCAACTTGCAAGGGTACATGTGCATCAATATTGCTCTGGCCCAATCCAAATAACCCAGAGCGCTTCTCAGCGGCTCTAGATTGGACGCCAAGATTTCCAATGGCACCCTCGCAATTGGATGAGTAGAAATACGGATACTTCGTACTTATCCACCGACGGACATTTCAAAAAAGAAGAGGAAGAACAATGAAGAGATGAAGAGGTCACCCAAAACCCGCCGCTTCGTCATAGTTGGTCTGACCCGCTAATCATCTCAAGCCCGGCATATGGCTTCGGCAAGTGCGACGTTCGTCGTTGCATCTTCTCGACTCTTGGCCTTCTTTTTTTCCTTTTCCCAGAGCCACGTTTCGGAGAGCTTGGCGGAAGGGAAGGCTGACCAACAGAACCAGACGACGAGACGACATCCGATTAAAAAGAAGAAAAAAGCGGAATAATCCAAGGTTCACGATGTAAGAAAAATGATATCGAGGAGCATCGAGGTTGGCTCACCAAACGAGTTAAATAAAAACCTTCGTTTCTCTCCCCTCTCCTCTTGGCGCTGGCAATTTAGCAGTTTCGGAAGTTCAAGGGCAAAAGTGTCGATTTACTCGTCCTTGCAGATTTCTGATCGATCAACCATCGGGGAGGTCTTTAAAGTACATATTCTCACCCTCCCCTCCAACTTCTTCCTCGCCAAAACGGCTGCAAAATTGGAAAATTGGGCTGGAATAAATATGGATGCTCCTCTTTCCTTGCCACGGAAATGTTTTAATCTACATCCAGGCTCCGGGATTATCCTTACATCTCGCTTAGAAGATGGGTGGTTGCAGCGGGCCATACTTTGTAGTTGACGCCCTCTTGCATTTAACACGAGTACGTAGAATACGCAGATGCACGGTCATATCTTGGACGGTCAATAAGAGGCGGCAAGGACATGAAGAGGTTCGCAAAATTGGAAACACGGGTTCTGCCTGAGATCCTCCAATTAACCTTGATAATTTCCGTCCCATCCAGGGACAGGGCATGTTACGAAGTCACTTCGTACTTCCACAATCTTCCCTTTCTGTCTGTGGCTTAACATCAAATGAGTTCCAACAGTATCCTGCCAGGAGCTTGACGTCTGGCAAAGAATGCTCTCCCCAATGCTCTTTTGGGAGATACGCAAGGGAGAAAGAGGTGACGCCGTGCTATCCGTAGCACCACCGTTCGGATTGGAGTTCGGCTTCTCGCTCCTCGAAGCCCAGTACCCTGCCTACGGGCTCCCAGTTTTGCGCGGAAACGTTGGGAATCCCGTGCCTTGAACTACACGCTCAGACTCGGGCGCATCATTAAATGGCAACTTGGAGGGAAGGGTTCCCTTCCCTTCCCCTTCTC